CGGAGATGAGCAGTGGGTAAGAGTCACAGGGATGGCGTGTGCATGGGAGTGCTTGCTCGTGGTTGTCACAGGGAAGTGCGCAGGGGCTGGGGAGGTGGCTTGGTGTTGAGAGTGTTTGTTACACAGCGCAAGGAGCAGAGTTCGGATCCCCAGAGCTTCCGTAAGGGCTGAGTATATGTGGGATCCCACGTGCAGCTCTAGTGCATGGGAGTGGAGTCAGGGAGACCCCAGAGCAAGCTGGCTGCCGAGATTAGCTGAAGCTATAAGTTCTGGCTCAGAGAGCCAGCCTCGGTGTCTAAGGTGAAGAGCAGCTGAGGAAGATCCTGAGTCAACGTCAGGGCTCCACACACATGCGCACACACAAGCAAACGTGGACATTCACAGCAGACTGTACCATCCATGTTCCTCCCTCCCCGTTCTCTGGGTGGCCGGCCCCTCATTTACTGCATCATGTGCAGGGTTCGTGATGCAGGAACAAAGCAGGCTGGCCTTGTGGGGGTGAGGCAGCCAAACGGCTTTTCCTAAGTCCCAGGGTTCCTCTGAGTGAACTGGTCCCTTCCTGAAAGGCCAGCGGCTTCTGTGAACAGCTTTTGTGCTCCACGGAGGAACCCGTGGTCCAGGCAATACCAAGTCAGCACCTAGACCACAGCACAGCCATGACCCACACTATGGTCTATACCAAGGTCTGTGCCACGGCCCCACATCACAGTCCATGCTGGGGCCCATACCTTTATGTCACGGGCTTTACACCATAGTCCGCACAAGAGCCCACACCCTGGCTCATGCAACATCGCCTGTCAGTAGATACAGGAGCATGCTGGCATGTGCAGTCACCTCTTATGAGCAGCGGGAAGACTTGCTTCTTTGGAGGAAGGGAGCAGGAGTTGGACTTGCACGGTCCGGAAGGGCGGTCAGGCTCGGGCAGCAAGCACATCTCAAGGTGGGAGGCAGGATTGCTGCAACACTGTGCTCTTAGAGCCTCATGTGTGTTCTGCACAAGAGTGGGGGGGGTGGCAAAAAGTGGGCAAGATCTGCTTCGGTTTTTCTGAGTCTGTTTTCCCCCCCCCCCCCCCCCCCCGCCCACACTGGTTCATGAAATCGTGACTTAGGCTCCACAGTGCTTAGTACCAAGTAAGCTTAGGAAACATGCCTGTTTCCTAGAGGTAGACGGTGTTAGGGTGGGAGGCTGGCGCCAGACCCACCTTAGAATGAGTAAGAATGCTTGCTCATTCTAAGGAAGCGCTCTACCCCTGAGTTACATCTTGGCCAAAGAAAAGCGTTTTTAACTTGAACGTGTCACTCATGATTATCTGACCGTAACCCCTCTGTGTATGTACACCACAGTTTATAACACAGACACACACCATACCACACGGTACCCAAGCCCTACCCCCCTCCCTCACCACACAAACCACATACACCACATACACAGACACACTCACCACACACAACAAGCTTACATACATCCACACGCACTCACAGAACTCCAAGCTCTTGTTGATGCCGTTAAACTTAGCTTGAAAGCACACGACAGGCTGTGTGGCTTTCAGAGCCACCTGGGTCTCTCCCTCTGTTCCTTGACAAAGCTCTAGCCGCACTGCCGCTCTGCTGACTCTGTCCCAGACCAGTATCCCCCCCCCCATCCCCAGTATCATACAGTATCATACGGCAGCGAGCCCAGTGTGTCACTGGAGGACTCATGGCTGAGGAAACCCTCAGGAATCTCACACGATTGTTTCAGCCTTTTGCGCGCGTGTGTGAGTGGGTGTTTGCTTGTGTTTGCTTGTGTGGGCTCAGCTGTGTGGGTGTGCATGCCGTCGAGGGTGTGAGGAGGCAGAGGTTGATACTGGGTGCCTTCCTTTATCACTCCCTACCTTATTGTTTGACCCAGGCTCCCTCACGGACCTGGAACAAACTCTGTAGCCTGAGTTGACTGGCCAGCAAACTCCAAGGCAGGTCTTGGCTTTTTATATGGTGTCAGGGGTCCAAACTCAGGTCCTCGAGGTTGTGTGGCAAGCGCTTTATTGACTGAGCCATCCTTCTAATCTCGAAATCTTTTTTTAAAAGTGTGTTTAAACTACTTTATCTATATACTATATACTATATCTATAAAATAAACTATGTCTATAAAATATTGTATATGAAATAAATTGATACCTGTTTTGGTTTTTTTGTTTGTTTGTTCCTGTTCCTCTTTCCACCAACAGTGCTGATCACAGGAGCAGGCCTACAATGAATGATCTGCAGGGTTGGGCTGGTGTGACTCCAAACCTTGTCAGCTGGTCACCAAAGAGACATAATATGAGGGTAAGTGGTAGGCCTAGCAGAGCTTGGTTTGTCTGCGCAGGCAGAAGGAAGGGCCCCTGCGTACACGAGCAGGAACCTAGAGGGGAGGGGCAGAGGGGAACTGTGTCCTGTCTCCTCTGAAGCTCTGTTGTCTGACCCTGTCCGGATGATCCATGTTTAGAAGAGAAACTCTTTGAGGAAAAGGAAGGAAGCCCCGGGGCCTGCCGTGAAGCCGCTGGTGTTCCGAGTGGACGAGAGCACGCCCACAGTTGTGCAGAGCGTCCTCCTGGAGCGAGGCTGGGACAAGTTTGACCACCAGCGTCAGGGTGTAGAGGACTGGAACCTGTACTGGAGGACTTCGCCCTTCCAGATGGCAGAGCATGTCAACCTCAAGCCCTGGCAGAGGCTCAACCATCACCCAGGCACAACCACTCTCACCAGGAAGGACTGCCTGGCCAAACACCTGGCAAACATGAGGAAGCTCTATGGTAAGACCCTCTACGAGTTCACACCCCTGACGTTCATCATGCCCGATGACTACACCAAGTTTGTACACAAGTACTTCAAGGAAAAGCGGCATTTGGGTACCAAGCCAAGCTACTGGATCTGCAAGCCTGCAGAGCTGTCTCGTGGGAGGGGGATAATCATTTTCAGTGACATTCAAGATCTCGTCTTCAACGGCACGCACGTTGTGCAGAAGTATATCTGCAACCCTTTACTCGTGGGTAGGTACAAGTGTGACCTCCGCATCTATGTCTGTGTCACCGGCTTCAGGCCATTGACTATTTACATGTACCGGGAAGGGTTGGTGCGGTTTGCCACCGAGAAGTTTGATCTTGGTAACTTGCAAGACTGTTACTCCCATCTGACCAACAGCAGTATCAACAAATCTGGGGCCTCGTATTGGAAGACCAAAGATGTGGTTGGGCAAGGTTGCAAGTGGACCCTCAGCAGGTTCTTCTCTTACCTTCGGAAGTGGGATGTGGACGACCTACTACTGAGGCAGAAGATCAACCACATGGTGATTCTCACAGTCCTGGCTGGGGCTCCATCGGTCCCTGTCGCGTACAATTGCTTCGAGCTTTTTGGGTTTGACATCCTTATTGATGAGAACCTGAAACCGTGGCTTCTAGAGGTCAACTACAGCCCTGCTTTGACCGTGGACTGTTCAACAGATGTCTCCGTGAAGAGAAGCCTTGTCCACGATATTATTGAGCTGATTTGCTTAAATGGCCTAAGACGTGAGGAGAGAAAGGGCACTAGAGCTTCTTCAGAGAGAGCCAGGATACCCTGTGCCAGGAGCAATCAGCATAAGCACCACACAGCCCCCAGTCCCCTTTCCTGTGTGTCTCTCATACAGTTTACAAACAGGATGTGCACTAAAAAAAAACCGGCTATCCAGAGAGCCATAGACATCCGTCCCAAGCCCACACGAACCTCCCAGATGAGAGAAATGATGAACAGAAGGGAAGCAGCCAAAAGCAACTCAAGGCCCAGGGCTTGGCAAATGCCTCACAAAGTGCTCTCTCCCTACACACCGTTAGCTCAGTCACAGTTCCACAAGATGAAGGGGACCCTGGGCATCTTCCCAGAACCAAATGACCATGCCGGCAACTTTGATCTCATTTTCCCTTTCAATGAGGCTACCTTTGGAGCCTCCAGAAATGGATTAAATGTCAAAAGGATAATTCAAGAGCTCCAGAAACTAATGAATAAACAACTCTCAAGTGACAAAAGCTAAAATCCAGAAGTGAGGTGAATTTTTTAAAATGAGAGATTTCTATCCCCAGTGTAGAAGATAGGCCAAGCCCCTAGCCAAGTGCCTTTAGCACACTGCTGTTAACAGAACAGCAGCTCCACCAGGATAGCACGATCAAACGCCGGTCACACTGCTCTGTCCCGTGTTAGCTTGGTCAGATCACTCAGAAGTGTATCAATGGCCCTTACCCATTGTTACATTCTCACCTAGTAACAGGAGAAAAAAAAAATGTGAGAAATATAACATTTTAAAGGCTTTTCTTAGGTAAAATAGCACATATAAGGCAGGAATTATCTTTATTTTTAACTAGCCATTGTTGATCAAAATTATTTGGGGTGGGGGAGCTGGGAAGGTGGCTCGGTTGGTAAAGTGCTACTTGGTGACGGCTTAAGGACCCACAGCTAATCCCCAGGACTCAAACAGGAAGCCAGGTGTGGTGGCACACCTGTGGTTCCAGCACGAGAAAGACACGCACAGGCAGATCCCTGGGGGTCCCTGGCCAGCCAGCCCAGCTGAATCAGTGAGCTCTAGTTGGTTTGAAGGACCTTGTCTCAAAAAAACAAGGTGTTCCTGAGGAGCAACACTTGAGGACGATCTACGGCCTTTACAGACATGTAAGGAGTGTGCATACACACATGGACAGACCCCCCCATCACTCGTGTCATCAGGGTACAGTCATTTAGAGTATAGCAGACAGAAAACCCAACCGTTTAGAGATCCTGAGTCCTTAATCAGACCTCATGCAAAGAGCTACCTGGAGGGATGTTCATCAGCCGTATTGAAAAGTGTTCCCTCTTGTTGGTGCCTGTCCCTTACTGCCAACCCATGGAAAGACGATGGAGCCTTTCACACTTAGGCAAGCTGTGGTCTTGACAGATGAAAGGGCTTCAGGTCCCAGAAGTCCTTAGGGCATGAGGGTGAAGGCAGCCAGCCACTCGGCCACGCGTACAGACCACCTGGGTGGGGGTGTGGGCTGGAGGGCAGGTTGTCACTCTTCTTCAGAACGACTGATAAAGACGGCTCCGTGAAGGATGGGTTTTGGAGGGTTCACAGTCTGAGGGCACAGTCTGCGTGGGAAGGCAGCAAGAGGCTGGCCACATGGTGCTCCCAGTCAGGAAGCAGCGAGAAATGGAGGCTGGTGCTCGTTTGCTTTCTCTCTTTTTCATTCCTTCTTGGGACTCCAGGATCTTGGGATGGTGTCTCTGACATCCAGGTTGGGGCTTCCCACATCACTTAACCCAGGCTAGAAACTCACTGAGATGCACTCATGCACTCTCTTAGATTCTGTCAAGTTGACACAGCGTTAACCATCCATCACACAGGATGGTGAGCTCCCAGGGCTGAAGGGCACGCTATCTTGAGAACAATTATGATAGCACAGACAGCTCCTGGGAGGCTCATATGGTGCATCTGCGGCTGCAGGCGCCACATCCCATCTTCCCCCCAGACTCTGAAAGGACTCAGTACTTCATACTCAGTAGTCACTATTCTGAAAGTGGCTCAGCTTCAGCCCCTCCACGCTTTCCCAGAACAGTCGTCCTACATAAACAACTGGATAGAGTCCATCTTGCCACCCAGGGGCCTCAGATTGAGCTTGCTGAACTGGATCCTGAAGTGGATCCCAGAGCCTTGTCCCTGTTAGCCTGGAAGTAGCTCTGCCCACCCAGGGGTCTGCCAGGAGTACCCAGACACCCACCCTTGAGTCCCTGGGCAGGCTTGCCAACCTCTGTAGCACAGACCCGGCAGTTTCAGACCCAGCCTCTCTCTCAAGCTGAAGAGCAGTTCTGCCTGAGGGCTGACAGCGACTGCTCTGGCAGCCTCGTTGTGACTTTTCACTTTATGATCCCGGGAGTCTTAGAATGTTTCTATAAATTGGCCTCTCAACCAGCTGAAGGCAGGCATGACAGCATGGGAACACTTGGACACATGGGAACACATGGGAACACATGTGCCTGTCCATGACTCTGAAGCGCCGGCTCAGTACCATAGAACGGTGCTCATTTTAGTGCGAGCCCCATAGACCAAGGTCCACAAGAGTGTTCAACCCACCCTGTAGCCAAAGAGAACGTAGGGTCACCGGAGCCCTGGGTAACAGATCTGCAAGCAGCAGTCTCCACTGTAGTGTCCACAATAGCCATGTGATACAGACCCAGCCACCTGCATGTGGCCCTTCAGGAAGAAGCAATTCCATCTACCCAGTCTTAACCCGAGACCAACTGGCTAAAACCAGTGTGTGAGGGCTGAAGGGAGACCTTGGCTCCTTCAGATGCAAAGTCTCTACACATAACAAGAAAACTGACGGGATTAAGAAAGCAGCTTCTGGAAGAGAACGTGGGAAAGTGACTGGAGACAGCTTAGTCTAGATTGTTCCCTGAGGTTTTTCAAGCAAGATCTGGGATGACATAGCAAGCTGTGTGAGACACGGGTGGGAGAGCTTTTCCTGTCGGCGGCGGCTGAGTGCTGTTTACCGACCCCACCCCCAGGTTCAACCAAGAGCAGATTAAAAAGATTTTCCAATTGTGTGAAAAAAGAGAGGGGGGGAGGGTAGAAAACAGCATGGAAATTAGAGGCTAAATATTATAATAAGAACCATTGAAAAGAACCAGACAGAAGTCCGGAGCCAAGGAATGCATCCACAGGAAAATTCAGTAGCATATATGATTATGTAGGAGAAAGATGAGCAAGTACTAAGATAGGGCCACTGGAATTATCCAGTTAGAAAAAAAGAAAAAAGACTGAAAAGCAGTGGACAAACTGCCAATGTAGAGTTTACAGCAACCCCTAAAAGAGAAGGGGTGCTGCCGTGGGAATTCCTCAGCCTTGGGGGTGGGCACCCTGAGCTGTATTTCCCTGTTGTGGTGCAACACTTCACAGAGGCAGTGAAAGGGGGGAGGCTTTACTGTGGCTCACAACAGTAGGATATTTCCGTCGTGGTGGCAGAGGAGCCGTGGCGCTGACCACAGGCATGGAAGTGCGCGCACAGCCTGGCTCCTCACAGAACAGCGGGAAGTGGAGACAGCGCTGGGGCAAACGCAAGGCTGAGCCCTCAAAGTCCTGCCTTCAGCAGTCCACCGCTACCAACCTGGCCCCACCCAAGAGGCCACAGCCACCCCCAAAGATAGGGTGTTCAAAAAGGAACCCAGGGAGGGGAGCATTTCACATTCAACATATATGTATGTATGTATGTATGTATGTATGCATGCATGCATGTATGTTTGTATGTATGTGTGTACGTGTATATGATGTATGTATGTATGTATGTATATGTGTTTGTATGGATGTACGGATAAAGGAAGCCCAAAGACTCCGGGATCAATAAGGGGAGAATGCTCTGAGATGCAAGATAATCAAATGGTAAAAGCAGAGAAACAGAATCTTAAAAGCGGCAAGAAAGAACATATCGCGTGTAGGGGAGCCCCATGGTGCTCTCAGTAGGATTCTTAGCAGACGCCATGCAAATAGGGAGGAGACACGTTCAAAGTGCTAAAAGCTAAATGCAGCAGAAAGTCTGTCCTCAGCAAAGCTGTCCTTCGGGAAGGGGAAGTAGATACTCTTGGCAAAGGAAAGCTGAGGACTTGCACACTGCTACCTGTGGCACAGGAGACAGCAGGGGGAGCGCTTCCAGCTGGCAGAACATGGGATGCCAACAGATGAAGGTAAACATACGCTCAAACTCCAGAACACTCCAATTCTGAAAAGCTGCGTGGCAATCATTTAGTTCTTACATAAGAATTGAGGAACGGGATGATCACGATAGATAAGGCCATACTCATGTTTTTGTTTTTGTTTTTTTTAACACACCAGAGGAGCTTTTTTACTTTCCGTGACCTCATTCAGTGCTCTGCACTGAGCCCATCCTGGAAACAAGCTCCTTGAAAGTCCCGGCTGCCTCAAGTGTCAGGGTTCAAACAGAGGTGGTGACAGTTAGTGGGCGCTGCTGGTAGAGGAGGGTGGCAAGAATGGAACTACACTTGGGCCAAACTGAAAATCTTGAGTTCGAGAGATACTGTCTGTAAACCATGGCCGCACGGACATTAGAAATTGTTCCATATTCCTGGGCCCTGAATTCTACGTGGTGAGATCAAGGCAAGGTGACTAAAATGGCATCTCCCAGGGGTGAGGCTTCGGGCATTGTTCTAAGAGCTGCATTTGGATCCAGATACCATAGGGTAGGGGATGAGGCAGCATCTTGAAAAGTTTCCAATATCTCTCTCACCTCCTTCCTCCAGAATAATGTTCTCTGACTCTTTGCTGACAAGTGCTCTGCCAATAACTGATGAGGCAAGGCCCCAACTAGGTCACAGCACACTGTTGACACTCGGAGCCTTCGAGGCAAGGCACCGTCCTGTAGCTGAAGCTCTCCCAGGTGTGCACAGTGTGGACGGCTGCACTCTGCAGGGCAGCACCCACAGCTGTCTCCTTCTAGCTCAAGGCTCTTGGAATCAGTATCCAAGACCCTGGCCCCAGGGCCTACCTATTGCTCCACCGTGGTGCTAACCTGGTGTCCTGGATAGTTTTATGTCAACGGGCTGGGGTTATCTGAAAGGGGGGGGACCTCAGTTGAGAAAACGACTCCATAAAATCTGGCTGCAGGGAATTTTCTTAGTGATCAATGGGAGAGGGACCAGCCCGTTGTGGGTGGTGCCAACCCTGGGCTGGTGTTTCTAGGTTCTCTAAGAAAGCAGGGTGAGCATGGGGAGCAAGCCAGTAAGCCTCTATGGCCTCTGCATCAGCTCTTGCTTGCAGGTTCCTGCCCTGCTTGAGTTCCTGTCCTGGCTTCCTTTGATGGTGAACAACCAGTGGAAGTGTAAGACGAATATACCCTTTTTTTGGTCGTGGTGTTTCACTGCAGCAATGGAAATCCTGACTGAGACAAAGTTGGTACCAGCAGAGCTGGATATTGCTGTGACAAACATGACTATGCTGTCTTGGGGAAGATCGTGGAAGGACTTTCGGAACTTTGGGCTAGAAAAACCATTGAGCACTGAGAGCTCAGTGCACTGTTCTATAGGAGCTTGGAAGATAAGAATGGAGAGCAGTGCAGAGGATGGAGGCCTGGCTTGGGAAGTTTCAGAAGGAAGCTTAAAGACTCTGTTGGGACCATTTGTTATTTTGAATTGAAGTTCTGTAGTTCTGGTTAGCTGGAGCCGAAGAATCAGCTGTGAGTAACAAGAGGCCAAAACTTTTAATGTGAAACCTTTGCTTTGCTGGGATACTCCATGCTGCTTGGCTGGAGCTGAGAGATTAGCGGCGATTAAGAAGAGAAGAGAAGCACGGAGGTGAAATCTGGGAAGTGTTTCCTGAGAATCAGTGCACAGAAGCTGTGTTCCAGAGGCAGCCTGTACCTCACTCTGGCAGCTGAACTTGGTAATTTAAGAATCACCCAGGTGGTTCTGGTTTTGAAGACATGAAGGGGTCATGGAGCGCAGCTGAGGCTTGGCACCATGAAGAAAACCTAGGAGAGCTTATTGGCAGAAATGCAGCCTAGTTGCAGCAGAGGACTTCAGCGTTTTGGAGATGCTGGTACCTTGGGATGACCACCAAGAACAGCAGCAGCAGTGGAGCGGAGCCAGCAGGAGCCTCAAAAACAAGCTGTGCGTGCTGCAGGGGGTGAAGCTGGAAGTGACCCAAGCCCTTGGGTGGAGCCCAGAAGGTCGTGGTTGTACCCCAGGCATTGGACATTGAGTTATTTACACTGTTGGGAGTTTGGTTTTGTTTTGGTCACATTGGTTCTTTGATCACAAAGGTTCTTCCCTTTTAAAATAAGGAAGTATTTAACTTATTTTTTATTTTTACAAGATCTCACAGTTGAGAGACTGAATTTTAGAAGAGATTTCGTATTTTAAAAGAGACTTTGTATTTTTTTTTTAAAGACTAAATTTTAAAGTGTTTGAATTTGTGTGAAGTGTTTGAGGTTAGAACTTTTAAAAATTTGTGAAATGTTTTCTATTGTGAGGTTGATGTTAGTGTAATCTTGGGGATGAACAAGAAAGGAAAAGTGTGGCTCAACAGTGATGTGTTGTGTGTCAAGTCGAGAAGGGGTCGAGGGGAGGGTACAGGGGGGGAGGAGGTGAGTCAAATGATCGGAAACTTTGGCCCACATGTCCAGAACTCTGTAAAGTTCTGTCAGCCTGAGCAAATAACTTTGTTTAGACTTGACCCAAGCTGGGTGCGAAGGGCCTGGCACCTGCCTCATACTGCACGTGCGGGCAGTTGCAGAGCTAGCTTTGTGGCAGCAGAAGACGGTCTAGAAGTCGTGCTTTTGTGAGCCTTTTTTTTTTTTTTCGAGAATACCCTATCAATTTTCAAGAGAATCTGAAGATGTCATCAACTGCTTGCTAACTGTAAACCCTGTGCGGAGGCCAACACTGAGACGTTGTGGAGCACCCATGGCTCACGGGAGCGATGAAGATTTAACAGTGCACTGTGATGAGACAGACCCTAGACACATATGACTCCAGTGAGCAGGACTTTCAAGGAAACAATGTCACCTTACTGTCTACTCCAGTGGCTGGTCCAACAATGGCTGTACAACCCAAGATGAGCCCAGGAATAGAGGATCTCTTCCCTACCTTGCCGACCCTCTGCCATCAAGAAGGCAAGTGCACTTTACCTTTTGGACTTCAAAAGGACAACCAGGGCAAAGGGAGTGACAAAAGTCCTGCTGCCAGCCATTCCTCCCCACAGGAAGATGCCTGCTGGGCACCATCAGCTAACACGTGGGAAGTGCTTCCTGTGTCTACTCACCTTTGGAGTTCGTGGAAAAAGCCACAACCTCAGAACTCCTCGTCAGAAGAGAAGGCCCCTCCATAGCATTTCTGCAGCTCCGGGGTGGGTGGTCAAGGCGACCTGGCGACTGTCTGCTGAGATTGGCTGCTGCCTACCAGCTACAGGGAAATCTTAGATATGGCACAGCGGAGTGCTCTCACAGAATGGGAGGGATGGCAGACAGACTCACAGGAACAAACAGGAGGCATGGCCCAGTACGTTTTTTGAGTTTGTTTTTATCTGTGCCTTTTACTCATGTCCTTGTTGGTTGACAGATCATAATTATGTGAATTTATGGGATAGAATGCTACATGAGGCTCTGTCTAGACACTTCAGAATGGTTAAATCATGTCTACTAATATACCAAGCACCAGTGAAGATATATCCCCAACTCTGGATCCCACTTATTAGACTCTAAAAAGGGGTAGAAATACACAGCAGGCGGGTGTCAGCCAAGCAAAATGTGAAGCTGGCTGTTGATACTGGCTGGTCCCAGGAATTACCTGGCAGCACTTAGGCTATATCTGTTTTATCCTCTGCTCCAGGCCCAGACCATGAGAGAAGACGCGGTCTGGAAAAGGCCAAGGGAGCTGTGCTTTTGGAAAGCCTTGTTTCTGGTTACTGCGTCTCTGACCTCTGTCTCAAGATGGTGGCTACGTGTTTGTTTGTTTGTTTTCTTTAAAATTTTTGGATGCCTCTCTACTCCTGATGTGTAGGGGATCTCCAGGATTGTCAAGGGAATCTATCAGTGTGAGCTGTTTGGTCTGTTTCGGTCGCAACTATATTTGGAGCCTAGTGCCTGACGTTGAGTCTGGTGGATGCACTACTTCCAGTCCAGGATGACAGTTCCCATCTCATCTTTGATTCTGACCCTCCCTGAGGCATACTTGGTCTCTTGGCAGCCATTGCAGTACACAGTCTTGGTGGTGCCATCTGGGAATTCCCTCCTCTTGAACCTGGCTGTGTGGATTTCTTTCTGTCCATTGCTGAACGTGATGGTTTTGTCTCCATTCCTGTAGAACAGAGAGATACTCTGGTAGTAGAGCCACGCAGAAGCCAACTGTGTAAGCATGGAAGAACTGGAAATGAGGGACGCCATAACACCACCTCGATCCCTGAGTCTGCCCTGGGGGAGGAAGTTGAGGCTGTCCAGGGCAAGGGCAGGCAAGGCGTTTAATTAAGGTTTAAAGGACATGAGGAGCCCAGGCTGGCTGAGCATAGGAAGGAGGGGGGTGAAGGAGCTAAGTGGGGAACATGGACCCTGAGACCCGAGCTCACAATCTGAGACGTGGTGAGCAGAGGCAGCAGGGCTGCTCAGTTCATGACAGAAACACAACAGAAAGAACCCTGGGTACTACGTCTGTGCTGACCCCGCAGGGAAAGCCATGGAAACTCTTTAGGGAATGGGGATCCCCGACCCCTAGCACACTGGAAGAGCTGATGATGTCAAAGTCATAGAGGAAACGTGTAGGACACACTGTAGTCAGGAGATACTGGGAACATCTAAGGTGAGTTTACTGTAAGCTTGCCCAGGCTGGTGGACATATGATGGCTGCAGGCCCTGTGGACCTGGTTGTCTGTGCACACCAGCGTTGATACAGTAACTTAGCACATTCTTGTTGCATTTTATGCTCTTGCTTATACATGCTGCAACAGACTTATGCTTCTACACAACATGGCTTTGCAGAGGTGAACACTGAAGACTCTACTCAAGGCTGGCCAGTTTCGGTCACCTAAACATTGACACGTGTCACCTAACAACAGTGACACACCCTGAGGAATACAGAATGAGATTAATCTGATACCAAGCTAGATGACCATGACTTTAGCTGATGAGGTAAACTGTAGAGCCACCTTTGTCCCCGGAGTCAATCACAGCACAACCTTGGAGGCATATGGCCGCCCTCAAACTTCTAGGTCTAAGCTCATAGTCTCCATAAAGAGATTTGAACTCAAAAAAATCTTGTAGGCCCAATGGTGTCATATTTGTTTTTGTCATGCTTTTGGTGTTATATTTGGTTTTTAAAATATTTCTTTATTCCTATGTGTATGAGTGTTTACCTACATGCATATCTGTGAACTACAAGAGTGCCTGGTGCCCACAGAAGTCAGAGGAGGCCATTGGGTCCCCTGGGACTGAGTTACAGATGGTTGCTAGCTGTTATGTGGTTGCTGGGAACTGAACCTGTGTCCTTTCCGAGAGCAGGCAGTGCTCTTAACTGCCGAGCCATCTCTCCAGCCCCTGTTGTTGTATTTAAATGCGGTCAACACTTGCAAACATGTAAATACGCTATAGGACACGAAGCACAGCATTGGAGTCTTGGCTCACACAGGTTTTGGGGGTGCTGACCTTTTCACTATCACAGATGTCCCATCGGGGAACACAGTCTCCTCACATCCATCCTTAAGCTGTTTCACTGTCCCGTCAGGAAACACAGTTTCCTTGGAGCCATCTGGGTAGAATTTTTCTGCAGAACACATTCATTTAAAGTACATTATTATACTGAATGAATTTGGAAGCCGTGTTGAATCTAAATGACCCATGTTAAAATGTTAATGAGCATGAGCTCCTAGTCTTATGAGTTTGTAGGCAGGATCGGCAGGCATCAAATGGCATGTTGGTCCACGAGTAAGGCTATGCAGTAGTGTGGATGGTCTCGAGCACATAACAGATTGCGGGTTTTTCTACTTGGTGATGCTGAAAAAGTGATACACCTTTGGTAGAAACCAAATTCAAGTGTCAAAGCTCTGATATTCTTATGGGCTGTGGATCTGTGGTAAAAATCCTTCATTGGTGGCCGGCAGTACTATGTGCTGCAGTTCCAGGCTGACTTAAAAGAGGAATGCTAGAGGTGCCAGCATTCACGTTTCTCTTCTAGACTGCAACACGACTCAATGTGATCAGCCACCTCACATTCCAGCCATCGCACCTTTCCCAAGACATGGGACCTCACACTTTTGCCCTCATGCCTTTCCCAACACATGGGACTATATTTCTCTGAACTGTGAACCAAAATAAATTCTCCTTCCCTCTTGTTGCTTTTCGTCAAATATCTGGCCTTCACAACAGTGAAGGAAAAAAAAAAAGCGACCAAGACACTGTTGAAAATGCCTTTACTCTACCATCTTCACTTTCAAAGGCAAGCCTCTCGACTATAGTGACATCAGCCTTAAGCAGAGACAATGCCTCACTGTGGAGTTTGCTGAAGCACGACAGCACCTCAGCTTATCCACTAGCCAGGGCCGGATGACAGTGCATGAGCACTGTGCAAAGCGGTGCAAAGAGCTTTGCAATATGCATGTGCAGAAACCAGAAAAGGCTTCCAAGTGAAATGTTGTTGCTGGCTTTCCACATGTCCGTCTGATGTCCATGTTCTTTGTGTGCCTGTGTTAGTTAATGATTGGCAGTTGCTGGCAAACAAAAAGGAGCATGAACTGTACTTAGAAGAACGTGGTGTGCTATCTGACACCCAAGGAATAACCCCATTCAGTAAGTATTTGTTAGCATTAGGGTCCTGAGTGCTAAGGGGCGTGTTGGTGCGGTGCCCTGGAGAAGTCAGGGTTCTCTTTGATTCAGTAGCTTGAGAATCTCAGAATCCCTGACTGCCTGGTGCAGAATCAGTGCAAAATGGTCTTTGCTGAACTTCGTTGAATGCACACACAGGTGCACCCCCAAAAAATGGTATGAGGGGGACTGTGATGTTTGCTTTTGAATGGTCATGGCAAGACATTTTGGGGAATGTGAGCCATGCAAATGGACGGCAATGGAACTCAGAACCTGCTGTATAGTGAAGTGACATATTTGGGACATTCCACATAGACCAGCTGAGATTCAAAGACCAGATAGATCTATCAGACCCTTTTCTTTTTCACCAGACCTGGCTAACATCCACCAAACACCCTGCAGAGCATTTGTGAACAAGCCAAGTGTCATTTTTCAATGCCAAGTGTGTGCCAAAAGTTACTGAAGAGGTAATTGCTCTCCTGCCCACCTGTGTGCTCAGCAGCCTGTAAAAACCACAAGAGCACTGGCTGGAATACTAACACTAAGACAGAAGTGTCGTAGGGCCCCAAACACCAGAAGCCACTGAAAAGCGGCTCAGAAGTAATGCTTCCAGTGCTCAGGTTTGCTGCCCATGGTGTCTGCAAGGCTCAACTTTGTAGCTATGCTGATTACAGCACACAAAATTTGTGTCTAGAAATGGGGCCTAAGCCCAGGCTCAAAGTGCCATTCCCAAAGAAGAGTGAACCAGAAACCAAAACAACAAAACCAAACTACAAAACTGTCAAGTGCTGATCACCAAGGAATGTTTCTACCTTCTCTGAGTTCTTTCAAGAGAATCTGCAGCTACGGGCCTTGAAGTAGGATCGGCACCGTCAGTCCTGTGACCTGCTGCGTCTGGGATACTCTCACTAAGAAACTAACATGAAGTTTGGGCTATCGTGCCTGGGAAACTGACAGAAACAAACAGAAGGCTTTCTGGAAGGGCAGCTCCAGCCTGGGCCACCTGGCTGTTACAGATTGCCACAGTCTGTCCTCACAGGACAAACTGGACAAGTGAGGAGCTGTGGGACCATGAGGACTTTAGCCGTGACACACTGAGCTCCATGTCTGGGGTCGGTCAAGCTGTCACCAGAACAAGGCTGAGAGGCAGATAAGTGTAAAGTGACTTGAGAATTAAGGGAAAAGGAGAATAAAACAAGAAAAGGATAGTATTAGTCGATACACTAGATAGACCTGAAAAGGAGCAGAAGTGAAGTGGAAAGCGTCAGCAATCCAGGAAGGACAGTGGAGAGCGCGCGAGGTTTAGTTAAAGAGAAAAACGGTGAACTAGAGAGCAGTTCTAAAGAATTTACTGGAATGGAATGACTATGAAAGGAAATGTGTTCAGATAGGGGCAGAATCGCTGGCCTGCTGTATCTGTGATTGGAAGGTTAGAAAGATAAGGGATGGAGGACAGTCAGTGTCCTTGAACTTAATAATATAGGCGTGCCAGACAAACTCCAGGACATCCAATGTGATGAACTTCAGGCAAACTAAAAATGGCTCTTTGGTATGATTTTGCTCTTTGTACTTCACAGAGTGTTTTCTAATTAAAAAAAAAAAAAAAAGACATTAAGAATCTAACTGGGCAGCCTGCACTTTTCTTTGGCGAATCTAAAGGCTGATGTCTGCTGCCCTCTCCCCACAATGCTTAAGCATCCTATTGTCCTCAACACCAGCACACGAGGTGCTGGACCACAGAGATGGGTGACACAACTCACCGGTCCACTTGTTGGGAAACTTCACAACTTCGACACCGTCTGGGTAGGTTGTGTGCGTGGTCTGAGCATCCGCATAATAATAAATCTGTGAGGACAGGAAACCCATGCTGGGAGGCGGTTCGCCTTACATTGGGGGCCTCGGTGGGATTTGATCAACTACTTCCCATAGGTGGCTGAGAGTCCAGGCTCAGCAGGTGAGGAAGGCATGACCACGTCTGTGGGCACTTCCACAGCTGTGCAACACCAAGACATGGGGCTGGTCACTGGCTCCCTAGGAGTGCCTATTGGTTATTGGGAGGCCGTGGGAGACCACTCAGTCCTCAGTTCTGTACCTAAGCATGCTCTAACTCGAGACTTGCTGAGCCTTCATGCCTCTTGGGGGCTGTATCTGGTGAGTTCTAGGCTTGGTAGACATGGGCTGTGAACCCCAGTGTCCCATGAACTCCATAGTTTTCAGACTAGTGGACAACTGCAACTCAAGAGAGCAGATCTCACAAAGTGCCTTGGACATTCGTGGGACCGTACCTTGAGACCTTTCTAACAGTCTCCCTTGGTTCCCAAGAAGAAAGAAACAACATTTATAAGTGTTGGTGCAGCAGGTGCTCCTGATGCTAACTCAGCCCCCACCCCCAACAATATACCCCACAGCCACAGGGTGGAATGGGATTGAACAGGGCTCTTGTCTGACAAGAATGTGGAAGAAAGATACTGCTCTCCTCCTAATGCAAACCCCTGGATGGTCCCATCACATCAGTCCTCTGCAGCGGGGCAGGGGACATGGGTCTCTCCATCCACAGAAGTGGAAGGAGAAGCTAGAACATCTTTAGTGGAGTCATGTTTTTGGAACATCTGTGACTCTGAGATTGGAATGTGTTTTGGTTAGCGTCTGTCAGCTTGGCACAAGCTGGAGTCATTTGAGAGGAGGGAACATTAGGAGAGCGCGGGCGAACCCTCCATTAGACTACGCTGTGAGCGAGTCTGTTGGGGCATTTTCCGGGTCAGTGACTCATGCGCAAGGGTCCGGTGACTAACGCTCAGGGTGCCGCACCTTAGCAGGTGGACCTGGGTTGTATAAAAAGCCAGGTGAACAAGCCAGTAGGCAGTGTGCCTCCGTGTTCGCTCAAGCTCCTGCCTCCAGCTTCCTGCTTGACTTTTTCTCAATCAGTGACTGTGTGATGGGGGCACGTGAGCCAAATGAAATCTCTTCTTCCCAGGCTGTTGTTGTTGGTGGCATTCGTTACAGCGATAGAAGGCAAACTAGGAAAGGGAGCTTCTCTGTTCCATGATTTTAGAGCATTCTCTTTAGATTAGCAACACGTCCAAAGCCAGGTGGGTGGAGGGGCTTGCTCCTGTCTCCATTACCACAGGAGTACCATTTCCCTCTGCAGGTCAGGAGACACAGGAGGGAGTCGGCAGCTCCTGGACATGCCCCTGGAGGAGGGCATGCTCGCAGGCCTCTGCAATGTCTCACTCATCCGGCACTGAGAGGAAGTCAAAGCGGGGGGGGGGTCTTGCTTCTAGCCTGTGCTGGGCTCAACAATCTCTCCTGGCTCATCCCTGTTGCTTCTCACCTGTCGTTCTCTGTCTGTCCATCCTCCCCACCACTTCTGTCTAAGAAACATGTATGTGCCCTCCACCCTGCCCCAAGGTGAGGCAACACAGCTCTTTGTCTCACTGGGCCATGGAGTCCTAAAAGTCGTCACTCAAATAGGTCTCCTGGGATTTTCTGGTTCATTTTTTTCCCCCTAGGCATGCGGTTTCGCTTAGGTCAGTGGAAGAACATGATAACAGGAATTCACAGTAGTGGGGTGGGACAATGGTGAAAACACCACCGATGTGCAAATCTGCAGGTTGAGACCACGAAGGACCCTACCTACATCAGACACCATGGACAAAAATTCTCTCTAACAACAAGGTTCTGACCTTCCACGTTCCCTCATGTCCTGACACCAGGAGAATAAAGGAACATGCACCTGTTAAAGGTTTGCTAGTAACTGGGTAGCCTCTGATTCTATAAGAGCACAAGTGTGTCCATTGCACGCACCACTCTCTGGTCAGGCTTGACCTTCTTCATGTCACCATTGAAAAACCTGATGATGGTCGTCTTCTTGTCAGCGCTGATCTCCTTCCTGGTTCCGTTAGGGAAGGTGATGATAGTTCGCCCATCACTGAGAACCTCCTCCACCTTAATGGACACACAAAAACTCCAGACAGGGGGTCATACAAGCATTGGTGCTGCGGCTACACTGTTTCTCCTTGAATTCAAAATCTCTGCCCACTGTCTGCCTTGCAGGGTGGATACTCTCTCTCTCTCTCTCTCTCTCTCTCTCTCTCTCTCTCACATACACACACACCCTATACTGTTGAGCTCCCAATCCCCACCCTACATTTGGTTATCAATAATAAGTGTTATGATTTGTTTCTCAGTGTCTGCCTTTCTTCAAGTTGGTGCTATGCAGCGGCCATGAGTCTGTATGATCCATCAATCTAGGATCGATGAACCTGAAATCCCGGGCCAGCTAAAACTGTACAATTAATATGTAAACATTAGCCTTTGTGCACTTTCTGCCTTTCCATCTCATCCTTTTGACTCATACGTTACACTAATGGTTTCATGGAGTTAATAATCAGCAAATAAATAATTTCAAAGCTGTACTGTAGGCTCTCAATCTTTACCCTGTAAAGACTAGTGTAAAGAAAGACACTGGCAGAAATAATCTCAATTTGAGGAGTTAATATATGTGTATTTTTAAAACTGGCAGCATTTATTAATTATGCTGTATATTATAATTATTCTTAAAATAGCTGGAAATATAGGAGCTGACTCATTAGAGTTAAGAGCTAATACTTCTGAACAAATCAGAAAGATAGCCAACAAAACTCAGCTTCCAGCCAAGACAACAGACATCCTGTTGGAAGTTTGAACCAAGTCTACTCCATCCCTTGCTCACAGACCCACCAGGCGAATGCATGAGTTGTGTGCTGGTGAGAATCAGAAGATGAATTCTCGTTCTCAGCCAACCAGAAAAGCTCCAACGAGGCTTCAGTGACTACGTGCCTCTCACAGTAACGAAGCACATGTGTTCTTAAAATGCCCCTCACAGGGAAATCATCAAACCAATTATGGCTGCACGAATCAATGCCAGAACAGTGCTCTGACAGAAACCAACTGCATAGACTACGGTCATCGTATAAGTCACTAAGGAAGCTGAAAATGTACTGTCCCTCATGCCGTGTGGCAAGAAGCCGCCCGCCCTATTGCATGTTTGGCAATGGTGGCTCAACACGCCTGTGTGTGGTAAGTCACATACCACTCTGTCCAGTCTACATCAGAAACTGAAATAGACAGCTGTGACAATGATTGTGCGTTCACTCTCTCAGACATGTTATCACCGCTTCAGTGCCTTCCGCGTTGTTTGGAAAATGTCATAGCCAGTAGTGCGTGCTGCTACGCCAGGGCCGCCTTGCTCCTCACACTTACCATGTCTCTTGTTTGCATCCGGAGGCCATGTTGAGTGACGGTGGACACATAGGTTGTGTGAGTCACTATGATATTCACACAATGGTGGCGTCACCTAATGAAGCTCTGAGAGCATGTCATCACTGAGTCATGTGTGATTGTGAGATTCTTATTATAAAACCGGGATACGAGCTATTATATCACAAAAGGGGATGTAAAGCTAGCATGCTCGAAACACCGGGTTCCATCAGAGGGAGAGGCAGGGGCATCAGAAATTCAGTGTCATTGTGCTACATGGTGAGTTTGAATACATAAGACCTGAGAACTCTCAGGGGCAGGGGAGAAAAGGAGGAGGAGAGAAAAGAGGAAGAGGAGGAAGTGAAGGAGGAGAAAATGAGAAGGAGAAGGAGGAGAGGAAGACGAGTAGGAGGAGGAAGAGAAGGAGGAGAAGTAGGAGGAGGAGACTATAGTGAAAAACTGTAAAGCCAGGCAACCGTGCTCATCTACTCAAAGTGTTTTTTTCTGCTTTCAAGGGTGAAGATCTTCCTCTATTCACCCCAAAGGCCCAAAACCAAAATGAAGTGAGGAGACTCACTCTGGCCAAAGAGGGTGAAAGCAAGGTGCTTTGAGCAAATAGCTGGGCTGTCACTGCTCCAGCTGCTTGAGGCCAGGTGGCACACCCCTGCCCACCCTCCCTGAGACAGTCTCAGCACTCTGGCGGCAGATCTCTGGGACAAAAGTGCTTCTTGAGGTAGCGGTTGGGAGGCGCCGAGCTGATGCTCTAGAGAAGCGTGACAGCCGCTAGCTTGTAGCCCCAGGACAGTCTTCAGGGCTCGCACTACTCAGATTGTACAGCACAGGGAACATGGTGGAGAAAGGCTACGTTCTGCAGCCACCTACCTTGCCGTTCAAGTGTCGCTTTTCCTGCATCTCAGTGTCCTCATTAGTGTCTGTGGTATATGGCACGTCTCTAGAAGGTCCTGACTTTGACAGAATATTCTGTAGAGAGATTATAACCACTGCCTCCTGTCCCCGTTCCCCAGCCATTAGAACTACAGACAGGGCCATCAATGCTGGCTCCTGAGACGGCCTTTGTGTTTCTAAAAAGTGTTTTCTCTCATTTGTGGGCTCCATATGAACCAGGGTGAGTATGGTGACAGTCACCAAGTTCCGACTCTGTGTGCACGTCACTGTGGCCCTGAGGTATGTCAGTGGCTGGAATCTATTAATGAACTCATCTCACCTTGCCGATCATGTTTGGAAGGCTTACTGACTGCTTTTAGGGGACCCTCCTGCCGCCTAACTATGACTGTTCAGCCCATAGAGTAAATGACGTTTTCCCATGGAGAAAATGGCTTAATTCTGTTGCCATTCCTATCAGACATTGTGTAGCTATGAGGTGACTGGCCACGGATCTAGGGTATTTCCCCTGCACTTTTATTTTTTTAATTCCACTCATTTCTGCTAAGAATTGCAAATTAAAAACAAAACAAAACAAAACAGTAAAACCTTGGCTTCTGGATCCTTAGAGTCACAGAGGCTTCACCTGCCTATGGCCATGGCTCTAATGCAGCTGGCCGATAGCTACAGAAACGCTGTGTTCTACTCTTTTGAAAGGCTGAATTCGGTCAGAGACAGGTGTGTTGGGGGCGGGGGAGCGGCATTCGCAGCCAGCATAGCCTTCTGTGCTCATGAGAAAGACAGCAGCGGTTTCTGCCACCACCTCCAGGCCCTTCTACCCCAGCCTCCCAGCCAGGTGAAACCCGACCTACCCGCAGCCACATTGCATTCTGGGAAAAACCAGGGAGGAGCCTTCTTGCTTGAGCCTGCATGAGAATCTCACCTTCCGAACTGTCTGGATTGGAGGACCATATATCTGAAATAGCAGAGAGTCGCTTTTCAAGGGACTGTGCACATGTAGTGGAAACTGTCATACTTTTAGTGCAAGTTCCGAGTCCAAGTTAAGTTTCCGACACCGTCTCTTTTTTTCTCCTGAGGTCACTGTGCAAATGTCAGTAACTGATTGTGTGAGAATCATGAAGTGTCGAGTGGAAACACCCGACCCTCGTCTGCTGATTGTGTCTTCACTCCATGAGGTGGTGGCCCAGATGACTAAGCTAGCAGAGGGTGGCCTTTGCCCTGAAGCTGTTTTTGCCCTAGTAGGGGGCAGACATAGGAAGAGAAAAACTACAAACTCACAGTTGACAACTGCCCTCTACATGTGTAGGAGGAAACAGAGGCCATGGGGAAGGAGCTCTGTGCATCCAGGGCAGTTGGAAACTGGCGGAGAGGTCATCATCACTGAGGAACTGAGAGTGGTACACCCACAGCCGAAAGCAGAGACTCAAGGAGGCTTCCTTGCCCCCTCTCAGCTAGCTTGCGTCATTCAGGACCTCTTGACTGGGAAAGAGCACTGCCTACAATGGGGCTTCCTATACTAATTCGCAAGATAGTTCTTCAGAGGCACGCCCACAGATCCAGCCTGATCTAAGTAATTCCTCATTAAGATTCTCTTCCTAGATGATTATAGGTTGTGTCAAGTTGACAGTTAAACCCAGCACACTGAGTATGAACACTCGGTCTTTATCTGGTGCTGCTGCTGGAGGAGATGTGGTTGGTATGACCTTGACAGGGGAAGTAAATTACTTGGAAGCAGGCTTTAAGAGTAAAAAGCCTCGCCTACTTTCAGTCTGCCCTCTGCTTTGTGCTTATAAGCACTGCCATTATGAACTAACCCTCTGGAACTGTAAGCCCAGATAAACACTTTCTTCTAGAAGTTGCTGTGCTTTATCACAAAGACACACGAGAGGAGAGGAGGGGAGGGGAGAGGAAAGGGAGGGGAGAGGAAGGGGAGGGGAGGGGAGGGGAGGAGAAGGGAGGGGAGAGAGCTGTATCTACCATGCACAAGGGTCTAAGGTTCAATAAGTCAAAAGGGACTCACAATGGTAGTGCAAGAGGGTGGGTGGGAGAAGCCAGGCTACAGGTGGATAACAGTCCTCTCTCTGACCACAAGGGGGAGCTGAGCCCCGCAGCCAGGCTCTGTGCAGAGTCTCCATGGCAGAGGGCAGAGGTCATGCACACCCAGGGGCATGCCCAAGGGCACAGAGAGTGTGATTCTCACCCCTGACAGTGGCCGGAGGGAGGCATTCTTCCTGCCATTGTGGGGTTCTCAGAACCTGCAGGTGGGACCCATGGGGACAGTAGAGGCTGCGTACCTGGACAGGCAGCTTGAGCTCAGAGAGAGAGCCAGGCAGGAAGGGATGCAACAGCAGGCAGAAAGGGAGGGGAGAGGTTGCCAAGACAGGAGGAGAAGCTCAAGTGGGAATCAGACACAAGATGGCCAAAACCCAGGGAGCTCTAAGGTCCTCAGCCACATGCCATATCCTGGATCCTAATGACCGCCCCTCCCAGGGAGCATCCAGCGGCGAATGCAGAGGCAACTGGGCCCCCTGCCACCTCACTCTCCTCACCAGCCATTGACTCTGAGTCCAGGAACGTGGTGTCAGAAGGTAGTTCTGTTGATATTCTGCCAAGGTGTCCTTGCAGAAATTTGGAGGACAGCTGCATAACCTGGGTACGAAGAGAGTCACAAAAGCAGCGTGTCGTTTTCCCCAGCAATGCCACCACTTCAGTGACCAGGTGTTTGTGCACACCCGTGTCAGCTTTCAGATACCTCAGTCACTTCTTGGACTCTACCGAGAACTCTGGGCTCTGCTCCCTAAACTCAGGGAATGGACATAACGCAGAAAATTTCCACCCATACGTTACGTTAAAAAAAAAAAATCAGTTCTATTCTTGTTTTAGCACTGACGGCATGTATAGAGACATAGCTATGTTTAACAAATACCTGAGGCCACTCTGAGTAACAGAATAAGTGATCTTGTTGGACTTCACGTGACTGGGATAAAGCAGGATGTGTTGCTGGGAGGAGATGGGGACAGGGGAGGTCTGCAAAGTGCTTTCTGCTCAGACATGAGCACCAAAGTTCAGATCCCTGGACCTGCAAAAGAGCAGGTGTGGCAGCAAACCTATAATCCCAGCAGAAAGCAGAGGCAGGTCGATCCCCAAAACTTGCTAGCCAGAGATGGAGTCAGCCAGAGAAGGCCAGGATCAGTCAGAGAACGTGTCTTTTAAAATGAGGTAGAGGCCCCGGACACCCACTTGGTGGTTAAGAGCTGTTGCTGCGGTTTCAGAGGACCCCAACTTGGTTCCCAACACTCATGTTGGATGGCTCATGACCACTTGTCACTCTAGCTCAAGGGGGTCTAGCACACCCTCTTCTGTGCTCACACACATACACGCACACTCAAGTGTGAATGTAAAAATGATTTTTAAAAATGATGTGGAGACAGATATACACACAAACAGAGAAGGGGAGAGAGAAAGGAGAGGGAGAGAGGGAGGAGAGAGAGAGAGACGGAGAGAGGGAGGAAAGGAGGGAGGGAGGGGAGAAAAGGGAAGGACAGACAGACACTAAACACAACTGTACAAGTTCCCAAGTTCCCAACGTCACCTTTTCGTCAAAAGACATAAAAGACAATCCTTCATCTATGGAGTCTGATCCTCCAGTGGCTATTATACTTCCGTTTTGAATACTTGCAGAAGGAGGGTCATCTCTGTCTTCCCATGATGTCGTTTTATCTGAACCAACTCCCTCTATCCTTATGTACACTGGCTAGAAACAAATGTGGGGGATTTGTATCAACATCAGTAAGATTGCCCCCAAGGTGTGAATTAATGCACCCCATTTGCTACCCACAACCTGGACTATGACAACCCCAGGTTTTCAGTTGCCCTAGGGGAGCAGGAGAGAAGCTGTTCCCGGCACACTCTCCCCCACAGTCTTAGTTCAGAACTATTGCACTTGGTAGATTGCAATCTACAAAGGGTCTACAATCTGTAGTCTAGAAAGGGCCTGACGCCACAGAGAACAAAGTGCACAGAAACAAATGTAACAAATTTTGAGAGAAACGAGTTTCTAGCCTTTGTCCTCTTTTTAAAAATCAGTGGGTTTTGGTGTGTGGCTTAGGCATTCATTCAGTTATTATTTCTCTTCGGGCATACATCTGCCGTACAGTCTTACTGCGTTCAGATAATTGATCACTCATAATCTCTTCTGCTATGGACCCCGAACTGGCAGCCAAGCTGCTGCACACAGGAGGCCCATGCACAAGAGCAACAACTGCAAAACCACCACAGGCAGGAAGGACACCTGAGGGCAGGGGCCCACAGGCTTAAAGGGCACGGCGAGGGAGGATCAGGTTTTCATCTGCTCACTAGTAACGGCTTGAGCTAAGACACGGGGGCTGCGTCCCCTGCACGTTAGCGAGACTAGACTGCTGCTCAGACACCCCTGGCTAGTGCTTGCTTTCTGCTCCTTGTGACATCAGTTCCAGACCATCACAGGACCCCAAAGACTAAGACTAAACAACCCTAACCCTCCTGTCCTTGCATTATGGGACTTCAGCTGAGCATGGAGGGGAGCAGGAAATTTGCAACTCTTTAACAATGTTTATTTAAAGTTTTTCATATGATATCTTTTGATTATGTTTTCCCCTCCTTCAACTCCTCCTAGGCCCTCCCCTCCTCTCTACCTGCCTATCTTCATATTTTCTCTCTCTCTCAAAAACCCCAACAAACTAAATGAAAAGAAAAAAAAATAAAACACACACACACACACACACACATGCACAAACCCCAAAACTAAAAACAAACACAAACAAAAATGACACTGAATCTGTTTGTGTTGTCAAGCACTCAGGAGCACGGGGCCTGCCTTGGAGTATGGCTGACACACCCAGCGGCAACCCTTTGAAAAACACAGATTTTCCCTTTCCCGGCTGGTATCATTTGTGCCAGCTTTTTGGTTAAGGGTTCGTCCTTGTGTCCACTTCCCCTTCTCGGGGCCGGGATCTCATCCGGTTTGAACTGTGCTGGTCCTAGTGTGCTGTCACAGTCTTTGTGTCTCAGCGCTACTGTGTCTGGATATGAGGCTGTTTCTGCGGAGCCGTGAGGGGAGGGGTTGGATGGGGACAGCTCATTTAGGACCAAGTGCTCTAAAGTCTCTCTCTGTGCATTGCCCATTTGTGCCTTTCTACGTTAGTTACTATCTACTGCCAGGAGAAAGGCCTCGGGTGAGGGTTAAGCTAGGCGCTGATCTAAGGATATAGCAGTTTGTGTTAGCAGGACTCATTTGATTGATATCTTCTTGTGGCAGAATAATTGGATTTGGATCTCTCCTAGGCACATGGCCTATCTAGTCTCAGTGTCTTGTCCAGTTTAGCGGTGTCAGGTATGGGCTCCACCTCACTGAATGAGCCTTAATATTCAATAAAGAAGTGGCTTGTTACCCCCATGATATTTGTGCCACGACTGCCCCAATGTATCCTGCAGGTAAGTCTCCCTTTCAAGGAACTGGGTTTGTCGTGGGTGATAATTGATGATTACCTTTCTCCTTTGGTAGCATGCTGAGCACCCACATATACGTACTAGTCAGTAGGGGTGGAGCTCCTAGATGGCTAACAACTGGCTCTCCCCTTTTCAGTGAGGAAATTGTGTCTTCAGAAATAGAGCCTTACAATCAGTTTGCAGAGGGCAATCCAACAGTCTGCTACACTTGGGGAGTTCCTGGCCAATGACTCAACAAGAAGTAATCCGTTCCTGGCACTGGAGGATTTATTTGGTGGGCTAAGATATCTAGTTGGGGTATTGTCTTCCCCATTATATGGTGAATTCATTTAAATTCTTTTCATATATGTATATATATATGTGTGTGTATGTGTGTATGTGTATATGTACACATACATACATACATATATGACAGTTCTACAGTTGGTTCCCACATGACTTTTCAGAAGTCCTTTGGTTACACAACATTCACACAGCTGGCCAAAGACCTTCTCTTTCCCTCTCTGGAGGCTATCTACAAGTGTGTCTACAAGTGTGGGGTTGGTATTTTAAGTTGTGCACTGTCCTCCGAGGAAGAAGGGGCAGTGTGAACCTCTAACCCCCCTTTTTTTCAGTGCTAACTTACAGCTTTGCTCTTCACATACAGTACGCAGAGCAGACCTTTTGACATCATTCCTGGAACCGTGTTTGAATGAGGTCTCCCTGAACAAATTTACGACTGTGGCATTCACAGCTTTTTGTTTTGTTTTGTTTTTGTTGTTCAAAGTGTTGTGTTTGTGGTGCAGATGCCGTTCCTATCCACAGTCATGCGAGAAAGAAGCAGAATCGTGCACAGTCAGTGAGCATTTAAGAACTCGCCAAGCGATTACCTCACAGCGTGGACAGCCTGACATCTGATGGAGATTCTGAGTGACAACTTGCCAACTTGTGGGCACATCTTACCTACTCACTGTGAGCAGGGGATAGGGGAGACATGATAGCAACAGCTACAGAAAATGGCTCGCAAGACCCATCTCAGCGTCTACCAGTGACAGCAGGCAGCCCCGAGCTATGCTCAGGGTTAGATCTAGCTCCTACTCCCCCCTGTGCCTTGGAGGAGTTAACGACAGGATCCAGTCCATCGGCTAAGGTAAAGTAGGACCTTGGAGTCCCGAGGTGGCCTGGTCATGTGTGTAGCTATTCCCTCAGAGCTCGTGAGTGCCCTGGAGACTGTCCTCAAGGTTCCCAGGAAGGCCCACTCAAGATTTACTGTCACTTCTGTGTGATTTATGTTGAGGGATACTCAGTGGAGACAGCATGCCTGCATGCGGTTATCTCTGTAATGCAGAGAATCTGCTGTACCATACTGCCGGCTGCTTCTGTCTCGGCTGGCAAGGCTCCAGGGCTTTTTGTGTTTCCCGAAACCTTCTCCTTCAAAGTCTTCAATTCCTCTCGGAGATCCTGATTCTCTTTCATCAGGTCATCGATCTGACTCTGGAGGTCTTTGTGAGCTGCACACCACCAAGATGCCTGTCTAGAGAGCTGTTCCGCAAGGTCACAGATCTGCTTCTGCACCCCCTGGGGTGGAAAGAGAGTGACAGACACATCTCAGGTGCCCTGTGGGTGTACCAACCCCCAAAGAGAGTTCTTCCCCTGAGAGAATGGGGACTTCTGGGATGCCGTTCATCTCCAAAGGGAAAACCAGATGTCCACAGCTTCAGCCATCATTTCCAAGTGTGCACTAGGATTATTGCACATACCCCAACTAATCTAATGGATGGTGGGGTACAGCCTTTGCTAGAACACTTCTGTGAAAGAAATTCACTTCTCGTACTCACCCTTCTCCTTGGGGGGCAGTTGAAAAGGAGCTGCCACCATGAGTCTGAAAATGACAGAAAATGACCAGCCTCTAGTCCTGACTTCACCACTTCCTTGCTTGGATACCTTAGAGACAGGCCACCTAACATGTCTGGGCCTGCTTCTTTTCCCCCAGAGAGCAGAAGCAAAATGACCTTGGATGGTTATCTGACAATGAAGGCTGTTACTTGGGAAATGCCAAGGTTTTGTGTCTGCTGATGTGTGTGTGTGTGTGTGTGTGTGTGTGTGTTAGTTCTTTGTTACATGATGCCAATGTTAATGTCACGTATCTATTCATCTTAATATATAAACCCAACTGTACGCACAATAGGTACAATGAGACACCAACACTGGCTGCTCCCGCATGCTCCCTGGGTTTGAGGATTGAGGCATGGATGGCAAACGGGCAAGTGAGAAGAACCGAGGGGGGGGTGCTCTTCTGCCTGTCTTTGTGCGAAAGGACAGATCCAGAGAGACAGAGGCTCCCATCACAGGACAGTCATATCTGTCACCTGGAAGCTACTGGGCTAACAAGGTATGGTCTAGGAACGCCGTCCCCCATAGCTATTGCTTTCCCATCAGTTGCTGCCCTAAACCTCTAAGGTTTGTCCTTTGTCCTGCCACTTTGCCAAAGGTCTTCTGCTCAGTGTTGAAGGTGTTCCAGAGGAGCTCCAAGCCACCTCTCTAAGAAACATTGGCCCCGAGAGGGGAGCGAGAGAGACAGAGACAGAGACAGAGACAGAGAGAAACAGAGAGAGACAGAGACACAGAGAGAGAGGGGGGAGGAAGGAGAGAGAGAGAGCACTTCATGTTCAGAAGCCTGTCTTATTTTCTCTCTTCAGTGGTGAAGAGCTGAATTCCCTTTCCTTCCATGGGGATTATCTCCAAAAAGCAAGACTTCAACACACATGAACTGAATCTTAATGGGAGAATGGTACACGTTAGAGAAGAAATTTATGACCATATTATGCACGCAGTCCTGAAGATAACGAGGAAGTGATTGCAACTTAGTTTTAATATTCTTCTCCCTTCCTGGGAACTTCACTACCAAATTGGAGGATTTGGGTACAGAGAACTATGGCAGCAGTGCATCTAGAAACCTGAAATGCATCCCTGCCAAACAAATCCCTGGGACACTTTTTCCACATGGGATAGTTCCTAAAAAACATTCTGGGTTTTAAATTAATATATGTTAATTGTACATTTTGATGAGGGCATAGTGTAATATTCCTCCACCCCAAAAAAGTGTCAAAAATGCAACCTGCAATTCAGATCTTCCAGGTGGAGGCAGGGCTCCTAAGGGACACATGGAATTGGGGTCCTTGAATCTCCAGAGAACAGTGTTAAGTTTCCAAATCCAGAATGGGTGCGCTATAAGAAACTCTTGGCAGAGGATCACCTGTGTTAGTCTGTTACAAAATACCTGAGGGACTCAACTTACAAGGAAGATGGTTTTGTTTAGGCTTCTGGCTCAAAGCTTTCAGCTCACAGTTGCTGAGCTCCAGCACTCTGCACCAGTGGTGAAAGAGGATGATGTGATAGAGCAAAACTACTCACTTTATGACAACCAGAAAGGGGACAGAGGGAGGGAAGAAGGGAAGAAGGGAGGGAGAGAGGGAAGAAGAGAGGGAGGGAGGGAGGAAGGGAGGGAGGGAGAGAGAGAAATGCAGAATGGGCTGAGATTTCCATACTCCTCTCATAGGCATATCTCCAATGACCTGACTAATTACACTAATTACTAATTATACCTGCCTTGGTCTCCACCACCTGCCAATAGCATCGCCAGGTGGAGTCAGTGTAACACATGTGATCTTTGGGAGACATTTGAGATCCAAACTGTAACTCCCACTCACAGTCCTCCCCAGACCCTAGAAAACCCTGGCACTGGGAAGCTATTGACTCTGGAAGAGGGATGAACTGTCTGTCAGTGAGTGACTAGGTGTCAGATTCCTTATAAAAGTAAGATTCAGGGATGCCTGAAAACTCAGGAGGACTCCCATTTCACCTTCCCCATCCTAAAAACACCGTTTTCTTAAGATAATGAAATCCCGTGAACTTGTGATGTTCTCCGTGAGACACTGCTATACGTGCTGCCCACAGCCCTCAGCCTTTCTTCGACAGTGCTACGTGACCTCTATGACCAGAGGCTCACATCCTGTCCCTCCACATACATTAGGAACCTCTCACAGTGTGTGACACCCAGTAATGGGTGCTGTTCCTGAGGAGAGAGAGCCCCCGAGCCAGCTCTACGCACTGCAGTCTGTTTCACCCGTGGTTGCAAATCCTCCCTCCGTGCCTTTGCTTTCTGGCAAGAGACCTAGAATATTAATCTTCTGTGAGAACTATCCTTGAAATATTGAATATTTTTCTCACGCCTCAGAAAAAGAACACCTCTCCTTTCGTGTGCTCTATGAGGGCCATGCACTGAGGACCTCACCTCTAAACCCTCAGTCTCCTTCCTGTTGGCCTCTTGGTGACTTCCCCTATCGTCTCTGAGCCCCTTGTAAGGAGACCCTCACACATATTCAGTCAAAAGATCCCAGGTTTCCTGCTGTGGCCACCAAGTGCAGGCTCTGTGATACCACAGGCTGCCCTCTATAAAGCAGGGAGCCTAATAACCCTGCCAGGTTTGTACCATGGCTCAATACTGACAAGAACATGAGATATGTTTAGGCCAGGACCCAGTACTAAATAAACACTGTCAACATTAAGGCCATAGTGACCATGCCACAACACCCACAGTGAGCCCTCAGGTAATGCTGCGATGTGCATCTTCCTAGCTCTCTCACAGCTACTGGAAGCCAACGGGTTTTAAACTTCATACTCCAGGTTTTCTGCGGACCTCTTCAGTTGACCCAGGGGAAGGTGCAGGCTTTTCTGAGAATAAATGGCATCAGATCCTAAGAGACATTACATGGGACAAGGGGCTGAATGTGTAGACTCCTGCGCATGCATGTGCATGCCTGTGTGCGTGTGTATGTGTGTTGTTGTGTGTGTGTGTGTGTGTGTGTGTGTGTGTGTGTGAATAGTGGCAGGGACTTTCCTGGCAGACAAGGGGAACCTGGCAAGGACCAGGGAGTTCGCTGCCATGATTGAAGGAATGCAAATGTCCTGAAAATTTTGACCCATTTTCAGAAGCCTGGAGCCTTCTCCTGGATTGGAAGAAGGGAGCCAGTGTGTTCAGTGTTCTCATCTCTGCACCTGTCTCCCAGAGGCATCCCAGAGGACAAACTAGAGCTTGTCCAGGAGAAAGTGAAAGCAGCACACCAGCTCAGAGTGAGCTCACACCGAGAAGGCCCCAAGGGGCATCCAGAGTGGTAGAAAGGAACTGTGGGTCTCAGGACATGAGGAAGCGTTCTGCCCAGTCCATTCTCCATTCAAGGGATACTCTGCTTCTTGGCCTAGCTTACCGTGACATCCTCAGGCTTTTTGTCCTCACTAGGGACGTTGGCTATCGCATCCATCGCCTTTTCATGGTTGGCCCCTGCTCCCTGATTCGGGTCCTCTAGCATGGCTTGCTTCCACTGACTCCTTAAGCCTCGAGGTGACCAGTAAGCATTCTGGTTGTAAAGGAGAAGGGTCATGGGGATTTCTTGCTGCAGCCCACCTCTGCCTCTCCCATTTTTAGCCGATGGCCTGCCAATCCTCCCACATAGGATGGAGAACGCCCAACCACGCTTCACTGAGTGCCCCCCACCCTACTGCCTGGGAACAGTCTCCACCTGGAGCTGACCAAGAAAAGGTTCCCACATCTGGAGATCTGGAAATCGCAGAATGGAAAGGACCCAGCCACTTACAAGTGGTGTGTCCCCAGAGGTGGGTAGGAAATGCTTTGATTCAGAGTCAGCATGGTACCTGATCACATGAGTACTGCCAGCATGACCTTGAGGTGAGCAGGGCCTTGAGAGGGCACCCGGGAAGTCTTAGTCCTTCATAGACATCTGCTGTGGATGCCTTTGACTATCTCTCACCAGGACAAACCCCTTGTCTCCACCCTACAACTCCATAGCCTAAAACGATGACACAGAAGTGGGGGTTTATCAGACCTGAGAGTTGGGGCCACAGGAGAAGAGTCCAACAGGAGACAGCTGAGCAGAGAGAAAAATTGAGGAGCAGCCTTCCATAGGATAGCACAGGTGGCATTATATGACACCAGCAACCAAATCAGCTCCCTCCCACCACTAAGGTCTCAGTACAGCTAATTCCCACACCCTTTCCAATGGTGGCTTGGCGGCCAGTGGCAAGTTTGGTGGGGGGAGGATTGAGTACTGGTGAGTGGCAGGGATTTCTAGGCAGAGCCTTTGGGAATGTCCTGACTCCAAATCACAACTACAACAACACAGTTCCTGTGTCTACACATAAACACATGTGTTCATAAACCTAGGCTGTATATAAACAAGAATGAGAAGCTTAGCCATAGTGACAGGGAATCTGGCTGGAGACAATGTGTTTCCTAGTGAGAGACAGACAAAGGCATGTATAGCAGGGCTACTCAACCCACCGTGCCCTCAGCTGGCCCCAGGCCCCATGGTTTCCTGCTTCTCAGAAGGGGACTCCTCATTCCCCAACAATGGCTCCTAAGCCCCTCTTACCGGGGAGTACCTCCCTCTGCATCCCCCCAGCCATCCTGGGTCACTTCACCTAGCCTAAGATGGTGGCGTCTGCCAGGACATTACTCATCTAGGCCATATCCCAACAGCTCTGTGCCCTCCACACAGGTAGCTCAAGAACTCCAGAAATCCTGTCCATTCTAAACCGACTCTCTGTCTTAAAGGGCCACGCCATCTCATGCAGCCTCAGGATTTTATAAAGGCTAAATGATAATTACCAAAAATACCCATGATTCAGCTAGAGTAAGCTCATGTCTATCCACACAGAGAACCAGATTCTCTACCCAGTTGACTGCAACAGTAAAAACTCAATTCTTTCAACACGCATTCCTGAAAAACTATAAAATTTCTCTAAAATAAAAGCAAACTGCCTAGAGATGTTCGAAAGGAGAATGTGATCTCTACAAGATTAAACAGAAGACACGAGGCAAAAGTTTGTCATCCTACAAAATGCTTCTACTAACTTGTCCCTCTGGGTTTTGTGATTTGGGGAAAGGATGAGAAGCAGTGAAAGAGTTGGTGTACAGCCTTAAGCCCTGGCCATCACTTCATCTCCACGGCACAGTATTTGGAGTGGCTAAATATTTAAAGGCAAATAGAGGAAACATTTTTTTTTTGCAAGCGTGTGTCATTCTTCACCTGGGGACCCTTGGTCACACTGCTCCTGGGGACGTAGAAAGGTCTAGCTGTGTTGGGATCAATAATGCTACTCCTGGGAGGCCTTGAAATGCCTCTTGCTCTCTTTCTATCATCACGTTCTACTTGGACCAGTTGTTAGACAGGAGAGGCCAAGCACCTGTGACTTTGAATATATCTATTGGATAAATCCACTGCCTGGGAAGGAGTCCCTCACATGGCTGCCTGTGAGTGTGTCTGCAGAGCTATCCAAGCTCACAGCTGAAGAGAGAGTGGAGCTTCAGACCTGAGGAGGCTCGGTGGAGGGTGGCCAAGAGTAAGTGTTGGAAGGGCTACACTGCCCTGCCTCCTGCCCATTCTGATGACAAACATCTGCAGGAGCCCTTCCGCAGTGCCTGCTCTGGTATCAGTCAGCCTGGACCTGCTTGGGACATTGTTTAGTTGGATGGGCTATGGCATGGGAAAGGCAGAAAGCAATGACGTCTTGAGTGAGGCAGTACTGAGCGCCTTTTCTGCACTCCAGACTCATCTCTCGGCTGCTCCTGCTTTTGCATGCACAGAAGAGGTGACTGCATGTCTCTTAGCCACCCTCTGAGAGCAGAAGTCAGTCCCAGAGTTTTCTGGTAAGGGGACAGCAATATATATATTGGGGAATTTATTAGAATGGCTATAAGTTGTGGTCCAGCTAGTCTAATAAAAGCTGTCTATTATAACCAATGGAAGTTCCAAGAGTGCAATAGTTGTTCAGTCCATGAGGCTGGATGTCTCAGCTAATCTTCATTGTACACTGGAATCCCGAAGTAGGCTTTAATGCCAGTGAAGGAATGGACTGGTATCAAGATCAAGAACAAGCAGGCAAAGAGGGAAAGCTTCCTTCTTCCAAATCCTTTATATAGGATGGCAGAATAAGGTATGGTCCGGATTAAAGCTGGATCTTCACATCCTGAAGATCTGAATTAGAAATGGGTCTTCCTAATTCACATGATTTAATTACAGAAAGTCTTTCACAGGTGTGCCCAGCCATTCATGGTGATTGTCCTATGAGCAGAGAGATGTCTAGAGCGGCTGGCATGATGAATAACTCTCTCCATGCCTGCTTGTTTTTGCAAGAGGATCCAAAGGACTAAAAGAAGAGGAGAAGAGGAGACACAGGCTTACACTGTCCTGGCCTAAAGTATCTCGTTCCTATGTGACCCAGAGGGCTACTTCAAACCAACGTTGACTTCTGGTCTCAATGCTGGAAGGCCACTGAGGGCAAACCCAGAAAGTCTCCAGACCCTAGACAATGACAGTATGTACAGTTTCTTGAGGAGAATCTAAACACCAAGGTGAATACACGTGGTCCTGACAACAGGGTGACACCATGGGCTCTGGAGCTCAGTCCCCTCCCAGCTCTTCTGTGGACATATAGCTTGGATTCTAGTGCCAAGTGATTGTGTCCATTTCCATTTTGCCTGGCTTCTTTTGTTGGTCAAAATGTACTTTATCATTTAACAAACAACCCGTTTAATAAAGTCTGAAAATTAGTAAGTCACCCAAGTGTATTTCCTCCGGTCCCCGTGGGCACATGAGCAGTGCAGGATGAAGATGTCCACCGAGCAGAACCATTCCACCATTGCACAGAGATTGCCTGAAGCGGGAGGGCAACCAGGAGCCAGCGCAGAGCTGGCTAATGTCCAGGATGCAGCTAAGGTGATACCACGCATAAAGGGCAGTGGGAACCCTGAACACTTTGCAACAGACTTTGTCTCTTTCCTTGATGCGAAATATCAGACACAGAACACCGCAGGTTAAGCTTCTTTGAGGAAAGGTTTAATGACAAGCTAACTGCAGGTGAACTCTGTTCCTATTTTGCGCAAGAGACAGACATGAGGTTGAGGTTTCTGACATTCGTCCTGAAACTCCACAAAATTATGATTCTATGAGTCATTGGGATGGAAATAACTCTGTCATGGGCTTTTGTTCTGCTTTTTTGTTATTTTAAAAAAATTCTTGAAATAGGAAATGGTTACTGGCTTAGCTCATGATGAGAGAAGTCTCATGAGAGACTCAGCCATGGCCTCAGAGGACATAAGATGCAACCAGAGGGGCAGAGTCTGAGATGCACTGAGCCCAGTTCTACAGTCACACAAAGCAGCATGCTCCAGCAAGGAGGGCGGGAGGAAAGGAAGCATCTGCTCTAGCAGAGAGGTGAAGGCACACAGAGAGGCAAAAAGGCCAGGAGTAACCAGTGGCTGTTCCAGGAGACCATCCCAGAGAAAGAAATCTAGAAATTTAGATTTCTAGAATCTAAATAAGATTCTGGAATCTGGAAATAAGACTAAACCGTAGAGCCACCATGTAATGCACACTTTCTTGGTAAATTGTCCTGTGATGACGATTTGGTGGCATGTGGTTAAGCTTGTTAAAAGTGGACTCTGGGATTGAGGTTGCATGCCCCACCCCCGTTCCAGACCCAAGCATGTTTGTCTCAAAGAGCCTTCCCCACCCTCTTGTCCAGAGAGGGACTCCTGAAACTGAGACAGGATGGGAGGAGAGCAACAAAACAGCCCAAGAGTAAAGGCATCGAGTTCCCGAAAACACCTATGAGGGCGACCACTTCCAACAGGGGTTACGATTGTTTACCCCACGCTATAATATGTCTACAGTGGGAAAGGCAGAAGTCAGTGGGAAAGGCGGAAGGCCAGCCATGGACAGCTCAGACACAGAGAGCCCATCAGAAACTTTGGACTCCCTCAGCTTCCTGGGCTGGTTTCTGCTGGGCATCCTGGCGCCCAATTGGATGATGCAGCTTTTGCTTTCTCTTTCAGGTAGGCTGCCCCAGTCACTTCTGCTGGATACTGTGAACAGCCAGCTTCGATGATGATGATGACCTTTTCACTATCTGCTTCTCACGATTTCTCTTTATTATTTCACTCTTGCTTGCTGTACGCGTAGTAAACTCATTCATTCAGAAGCGCAGCTGTTGCACTTTGTCCTTCAGACCACACAAAACAGTGGCCTTAGAGGCCATCCCTGTCGCATTTAGACACTTGATCTGAGACTTGATAGAGGAAGCAATGGGGTCAGATGCAATTTTATCATTATGAAACCAGTGGATAGTGAAAGATGATTCTGAAAGGAGCATTTGGATAGATGAGAGAGGAAGGTGGAAGCACAGCCGATCAGGACAGAGCACAGGAGCCTGTCATGTGAGAGGAAGGTATCAGATACGTTTGCTAGGTTCCCTGTTTTTCGTTTGTTTATTTGTTTGGTTTTGGTTTTGTTTTTGTTATTTTTAGATACAGGGTCTGACACTGTACCCTAGGCTGGTCTGAAATTTACCACACAACTGAAACTCATGGTCACTTTCCTGCCTCAACTTCCCAAATGTTACACGTGTCATCATGTTTGGCTCCAAGCCACTGCTTTTTACATAGTATGTGAAAGGCATTTGCGGCAGAAGGAACAGTGGGCTCCAGAGAGGCCCACACCCTGATACCTGATCTATATCACCTCGAAAAGAGAACTTTCTGAGTAGGTGGCCACGATCTTATGACGGAGAAGGCTTAGGTTAAAGACAACAAGTTGTGCTTGTGTCACTGGTGTGCTTGTGTCAGAGAGAAGAACAATGGAAAAAACAATGAGTACATTTGCGTGATAGTGGGGAACAGCCACAAGGCAAGGAGCAGAGGTGTCTCCAACAGCAGGGAAAGGAAAGATTTGTCCCTGAGTCTCCAGAAACACATGAACCTGCCAACCTCTGGACTCTAGCAGGTGACAGCCATGTTACACTTCCGACCTACAGAGCAGTAGGGAGAAAGTGTATTGTTTGGAGCCCCTATATTGTGTCAATTTGGTTTTTTTCCCGTCCTCTTCTACCCCCCCATCCTTTCCTCCTTCCTTTCCGTCTTGTTTTCTGTTTTATTTTGTTGAAATGGACTCACATAGCTCAGGCTAGTCTCACCTCACTAGATAGCAAAGGCTGGTCTTGAATTCCTTATCCTCCTGGCCTTCCCTCTAGAGTAGAACCACGTCCAGTGGGCATAAACTTTCTGAGCCTACCTTTCTGGTCCTTAATGTTTCTGGATGACTCCTGAGGGTTTTCATAAGTCATACAGCTTAGAACAAGCTAGCTGGAACAGAGGTGCTGAGAATGGGAGACGTCAGGGATGCTGGTGACTGCCCTCTCAGACACACTGGTTCAACAGCTATTGAGCAAATGATGAATGTAGGAGACACTGGAAAACATGGCTCAGAACTGAGGATCCCTAGCACAGAGGATAAGGTGCTTCTGAAGACCAACACATTTGCAGGCAAGTCAGTAGTAGATCAAAATGAGGCCAAGGCTGGGTCTGCCCACAAGAAACTGCACACTGGGAGAAAGACACAGCAGGCTCTGAGTAGCACTTTGCAGTACATGTATTGTCAACAGCACTGGCTGCAGCTGAGAATTTCGGAAATGTGCAGGGATGGAAAATACATCAACCTAGGGCAGATGGTTAGGATCAAAGTCTTAAGTCCTTGGGGTGCAGCTCCTTCATCTGTAAATGTTAGTTCCTAAGACCTTACTGAACTCCAGGAGGCTATGATTCTCAAAGATCCTCTGTGGCCTTTGAGGATCACTGTGGTGGTATGAATGAGACTGTTTGGCCCTCAGTAGAACTACTTGGGAAGGATTAAGAGGTGTGGCCCTGTTGGGGGCAGTGTGTAAGGAAAGGCTTTGAAGTTTGAAAAGCCCACACCATTCCTAGTTAACTCTCTCTCTGCCTCCTGCATGTGGATTTTATGTACGTGCCCAGCAAAGCTTGTTGCCGTGTTCCTAACCATGACTATCATGAACTCTCTGGAACTGGAACCTCCAAATAAACCCTTTCTTCTATAAGTTGACTTGGCCATGGTATCTTTTCAGTAATTAAGACAATCGCTGAGAAAAACATTTCAGAAATCATATCAGCAAAGTGCCAGAATGACTTGATAAACATATCACACCCACCAATTATGCCAGAGAAAACCTATTGTTCTGTGGCCAGGCTAAGGTATCCCAGCCTGGGTCAGTTTTGTAACTGTATGTTGCCTTTCACACCCACAGGCAGTCTCAATTGAAGATCCCACAAATCCTACATCAGTTTCTCTTCTCTCTTGCTGTCTGTGAAGTTCTCACGGCCATAGGGAGAGGCATCCTGAAGATCTCATCTCCTTCCTTCTGAGCATCACTCAGAGTATCTTTCTCCCTGAACCCAGACACAAGACTTAAACGAGTTGGCTTCTGTCTTTGCATGATTAAAAGGAATTAAATTGAAATGAACATCCCACTGATAAAATGAAGTTCCCTGTAGAAACTGCTCTCATTCTCCAGCCCCTAGTTTCCTCCCACTGGCAATGGGAACAGGCTCGTCGGCCATGTGAGACTGACTACTAAAAAGTGTAGCTCAGGGAAGCCATGAGGCATGCATGATTGTGAGCATAAGAAGCAGGCAAACCAGGGAGATTCCCGAATCCCTTGACCTAAGGGTCTTGAGGTAGAGAGCAGCAGAGTCTGAGAGAGATCACCCTCTTAGATGGTAAATTAACAAGAGTTAAAGACAGCCTTGTCATATTTCATCTCTAGAGGCTGCTGACAAAGTGACAGCTTCACCTTGTATAGAATCTGACCAGCCCCTGCTGGTCTGACCAGGACACACTACAAGGGCAGGGCCAGATGAAAGGCCAGTGCCCAGTTGCTTGTATGGGTGGATGTAACCTCCTGTAATCCCAGAATCTACAATAATGTGTTCCTTGACAAATTCTCACCAAGATCTTGCTTTCTTCAATTCCTGGGTTAGCAAGTTCACCAATAAGATAAAAAGACTGTGAAATGCTCTTTGTCAACTTTACATTTATTTTAAAATAAGACCTATTAAAGACAAACATTAACACTGTATTCATGCAAAGCCCCCACGAGCCTTTGATGCAGTAGTTTCTAGAATTCTTTACTTTGCAGCTGCTAGAAGCGCGTGACTGACCAAGCCGCTCACTGCAATGTGCTGGTCAAGTTATTTTTCAGTATCCTCATTATTTAACAAAACCTCAGTGGCATGAGAAATAGGTATAGCAAACTGTGTACACCAATGTCGATGTGTTTGTTGCGATGAAACCAGGAGCAGACTCTAAGCAAGCAGCGTTTCTAGACGGTGAGATTACACACGAGTATTTTCCTATGTTACTTTACTTCTTTCCACACTTCCTGTAACTGAGCATATTGGCTTCGTAATAAAAAAAAAGTAATTATAAACATTCAAGTTAAAACTTCATATGGTGGGTTTCAGCATCCAAAATCACCCATCTCTTTGTGATGAGCTGTCCAAGTAAGAGCCGGAGCGTTCGCTCTGGTCTGCAGGTAACACTCCTGCTCAGGTCCACTCTGGCGGGCAGTGGCCCTTTAGGAGACAAAAGATCTAAGTCCACGAGACTTCCCCAAATCACAATGAGATCATGCTTGAAGATGCCAATGTGGCAAGAAATATAATGGCTCCCACGATGTCCATGTCCTAATGCCTAGGACTTGGGAAGGAGTCACCATACACAACAGGGGCTCTAGGAATTCATTGGGAGAATTTGAGTTTCCTGGATTGACCATAGGTCCCTAAGAGTAATGGAGGGAGGGAGGGAGGGAGGAAAGGAGGAAAGACTGTCATACTACTTCCTGTACGGTGGTGATGAGGGTCTCTGAAGTTGGGCCTCCAGGTAGGAGTTTTCACATTTGTGTATCTTCTTTAAAAAATGCTGCTGTTTATCCTCCCCAAAGAATAAGTACAGGAATTTCACAATCTAAGAAATGCCCTACGTGTTTAGTTTCTATCAACACACCTCCCCATCTGCACATTGTCTTGTAGCCTTCAAATGCCTACATTTTCCCCATCAAGGGGCCTTAGTGGTCCAGCTGTTCAGATAGGCATCCTCTGTCACTTTCTATACTCCCGTCTCCACAACTCCTGACCATGGTGCATCCTTACAGCTCACATGCTCGAGTCACTCCCCAACATGGCTCCAGACAAAGGGACATGGCTTCACACAGCGCTGCAGACAGGGACAGGGTGAATTAATGGATAGGAGGATTCTGCCTTGCTTGCAGGGCCCAACTCCCAGAGTTCTAGGTCCCATCCAGGTAGTGTGAGGGTCAGGATAGGGTCGTAGCAGGAAGCGTGCTCTCTCTGTCTCTCTGTCTCTGTCTCTGTCTCTCTCACTCTCTCTCTCTCTCTCTCACACACACACACACTTTTGACTGAATGATGAAAGAATAAATGAAAAAGTTCAACTTTCAATAGCCAGAAATTATGATACACTCTTTCAAATGAGTGCGGCAACCAGCTCTGATCTCATGTATAAAATTTAGCCATGCTCAGGGGTTCTTACCAATGTCATCAGCTAAGAAAGGAAGCCTCAAATCTCCCCTGTGAAAGTCATTCACACTACACAACCGTCTGCTTGTTCCAATCATTGTTTTAAGTGTTCAAAGGTGCAGATTCCTAATGTCCTAAACCATTTCTACTTCTTTCTTCAGCAGCTAGGACAAAGCTCTGCTCACTGAACATTCTGAGAACATTGTGGCCCTGGCTTTGAAGCTGCTGATGTGAAATGAAACACAATTTCCTCTTTCTCAGGGACAAATGAAACAAGGCAAAACTTGGGGCCTTTCCCGGTTTCATCCTCTTTCCCCAAACAAATTTTGCTGACACCTTGGACCAGATTCTGGTACTGTTTCAGTATTATGCTCTCACTGAATAAATGCAGAACTTGTCCGCTTTGTAGCAGGAAAGGGCTTTTTTTTTTCCTCTCAGGGGAAAGAGCATAGTGAGGCCTCCTTGCCTTTCTGTCCTTGCTTCAGGTCAGTGTGGCTGAGGCCCATGGCGTACCCCAACTGCTCAGCTGCCAGCCCTGTGGTGGACACAGCTGTGGGAATCATGCTGACGATGGAGTGTGTCCTGAGTCTTACTGGCAATGCTGTCGCCCTTTGGACCCTCTTTAACCGTCTCAAAGTGTGGAAGCCGTATGCTGTCTACCTGTTCAACTTGGTGGTGGCCGACCTGCTGCTGGCAACCTGTCTGCCACTCTTTGCTGTCTTCTATCTGAAGGGCAAGACCTGGAAACTCGGCCACACGCTCTGCCAAGTCCTGGTCTTTCTGCTGGCTTTCAGCCGGGGTGTGGGGGTAGCCTTCCTGACGACAGTGGCTCTAGACCGGTACCTTCGTGTGGTCCATCCGAGGCTCAGAGTTAACTTGCTGTCTCCAAGGGCAGCCAGGGTCATCTCCAGCCTCATCTGGCTTCTGATGGTTGCTCTCACTCCCCAAAACCCGCTCACTCACAAGACTACCCAGAATTCCACTGAGGGTCCCAGCTTCTACCCCACGAGAGAGATCGAGGCCAGTGCCACCTGGCAGGAGGTGCTCTTCTTCCTTCAGTTCCTGCTTCCCTTCGGCCTCATCTTCTTCTGCAACACTGGGATCATCAGGACCCTCCAAAAAAGACTTCGGGAGTCTGACAAGCAGCCCAGGATTCGGAGGGCCAGGGCACTGGTTGCCATGGTACTGCTTCTGTTTGGGCTGTGCTTCCTGCCTAGTGTCCTGACCAGAGTTCTGGAGCATGTGTTTCGAGAATTTGAGAGCTGCAGTGTCCAGCATGTCATAGTGCAGGCCTCTGACATCACCGGCGGCCTCACCTGCCTGCACGGTGCACTGAGCCCGGCCATTTACTGCTTCTCCAATCCAGCCTTCACCTACTCATACCGGAAGGTGCTCAAAAGCCTTCGAGGCAGGAGGAAGACAGCAGAGCCAGCTAGCTCCAACTTCAGGGACTCCTATTCCTGATGACTACTGAAATCTTCAGCTCCCTTTTCTTTGGGAAGCACGTTGAATCTAAGCAATAACCCAGTAGTCTCTGGGAGAAGAGAGAAATTGCACTACAGGGCTCCAGACACAAACTCAGTCCCTGAGGTGGCCCGCTGGCCTCACCTGGATTTCTCCCTGCTACTTTACACTACAGTGGTTGATCTGAATCACCCTGACAGAGCCTGCCTCCATGGCAGTGGCCATCCAGATAGAGTTGCCAAGCTGCACTGAGCATTTCTGCACGTCCACACTGGAAGAACCCACCAGACTATGTCAGCGGGGGAGAATTCTGGTACCATCTATTCTCTTGGGTCATGTTCACTCTCCAAGACTTCAGTTCTCCAGGGTGAAAACTGATTTCATCTTGCCCAGCGTGGAGCTCAGAACAGTAGAAGCCAGAAGCCTTCCAGGTTCTGAAGAGGTTGCAGGTCACTTCCTGTTTTTATCAATTTCTCCTTCATTTTTTATAGGTTGTATGGAGTGTCACAGATAGTTGAGCGAGCTACCTCCTCCAGTGTGAGAAATATCCAGTAATTGTCTCAAAACTGGCCTGGAAGGGCTTGCTCAGCTTTGAATGTCTGAACGTGTTTTACTTTCTCTACCCTGCTTTGAAAGAGACACCATAACTTTATCTTGGCCCTGGGGAAAGAGATACTTGTATTTGAAATGGTGCTTGAAGCAAGCCAGCGCGACCATAAGGGCTGGCAGATGGTGACATGGGAGCTGGGACTGGTGGTATCACCTCACTCCTGGAACACACAGGATGGGGGCAGCTGGAGAGCAGGATTTGAAAGCCATTCTCCTCACTGCTTTGTCTCTGTTTCCAAGCTCATTTCTAGAAAGGCAGGTAAGGCAGAGGCATCTCCAGAATGCTTGTGGGGCACCTGCTGCCTATCTGGACGTTCTTGCAATGGCCATGGCATTCTACAATGCCACAGCTGACGGCACTGGCAGCATCATGTCCACTCATGGAGCTCCTTGCCTGCTTGGTAGATTTCTTGTCAGGACAGAAGAGTAGGAAAGTCCCCTAGACCAGGGTGGCCTGTCAGCCTCAGAGTCCTAGGGGAACAGATACTCTTCAGCAGCCCTTTTATTTTCCAGGATTTATTTCTTCCTAAGAGAGTAGATTGCAACAGGCCTGAGACAGAACTGTGGCCTGGTCAGGATGTGACTAAAGTCTGCTGGGTGGTCATTCTGTGATGCATCCCTTCTTCCAGCTGAGGAAAAGCACCTCTCGCTCCCTCATGCATGAGCAGTCTCAACAACACTTTGAAAACTCTCCATTTAATACAAGCATTTCCTGTGTTGTGCCATTATTGATGGCACGAATCCCAGCAGTCTCCTGCTCTTGGACCTTAAGTCTGTGGCTGCAGTACGACAGGCATGCTGAGTGTGATGCCATCATCTGCACAGTCACCCCTCTTATCTACAGTGGCAGCCATATGTGTAACAGTTTTGCTAGGCAGGTGTGGGGAGGTCCAGGATCCCAGCCTTCCCTGATTCACATCCCCCAACTTCTTGACTTCTCGCCTTGGGCTCTTCTCTCACTCCAGCTTTGCTGCCTCAGCCAATGTCTGCCTCTGTCCTGATGGCACATCAGTAAGCTCCACTGTCTTTGGGACACCCTCAATACAGCATCCCTGCACTCAAGGTCTATTTCCTGCCATCACAACCACATAGGAGAAAATCCCAGTGCCTTAGGCAAATAGGGATTAGATGGGCAAGGGCTCAAGTGTTGGCAAAGTCCCCGTTTATATGTAGCCTGGGCTGATAGTTTGATGGCTAAGGGTGATCTCGGAGATAGCGCCTTGCTCCATCCCTTAGGTCTGTGACCTGGGACAAGCAAGCTAATTGCTTTCAAAATGAGGAAAGTAACATTTACAAGGAATGCTTGCAGGCATTAAATGACTTCTAAAATTTGTCACACAGAGCCAGTCATGTCAATCATTCAGTAGACATTAACCATCACTTATTTCTGTTTTCCTTGTTGACTTTCTCATCTAGTCTGTGGGCTTTGGGGACATTGTTTTTTCACCTTTCTGTCTCAGGCAGAACCCAGGACATAGCTGGTGTTCAGCGATGGGAACCTGGTAAGGTTCATTTAAACCAAAGACTCTCTGTTCATACCCTTTGTCCAGATAATCATTCTTTAGAGTGATCCTGCCGGGCTACATCTCTCACACTGGGGAAAAGGATTTCTCTCACCTACAGTGGGGACAGCTGTCCCTGAGGACATCTTTCTGAGTCACAGCCACATTTGTGTGGAAGTGCCTCTCAGACTAACCTCCCCCAAAATGTCTGAGTGAGGAAATGACCCAAACAGAAAGCTGGTACAGTCACAAGCAACACTGTGGCTGGTGATAGTGGCTGTGTCTTTTTGGGGTCTCACAGGAAGTACCACAGTCTCTCCTTGAGCTAGCTAACAGGTCTCCACTATGCTGGATTTTCAAATTTCTGGGAAAGGCAGCACAGCACTAAATATGCCTTTTTCATCTTTATGGAGAGAGCGCCATAGCTGTTTATGGCTTCTGTTGGTCTCTTTTTAATTCCCCTGGGCCTCAGCCAGGCCTTTACAGTTTGACATCTTTCTAGAATATTCTCAGCTCCCTCCTGCCCCTGGTCTCAGGCAGGGACATTTTTTCAGTGGAAAGTCACCAGGATGCCATCTCCATCTGCTAACGGACACAGCAGGGGCTCACCCCCGACATTCCACACCCACTCTGCTCTTTGGCTCCACTCTTCCCTTGCAACCACACCAGCTTCACTCCTTACCCCTACAGTTTTTCCGAGAGCCCAACACACGGGAGGCTGCTCAATAAATGCACAGAGAAGTGAACATATTAGCTAGCCCAAGTTAACAAATGAGCCCAGCCACTTAGCAGGTTGGGTTTTGTTTGTTGTTGAATGCATTTTGAATGTCTCACTCCACAGGCAAACTTAAAACGATCTCTTTGAAAAACCTTTGGAGAGATGCTGATAGAAATGAACACGACACAATCACAAGACTGTTTGCTGAAAGCTTCCCTGCATCCGGACATGCTCAGTTCCGCTAGTGATCTATTTAACACTGACCTCTGGGCATGTCTGTGGGGATGGGGATGGTCTTGATGTGGAAGATCCAGCCCGTTGTGGCCGGCGTTATCCCCTAGGCAGGGGTTTCTGAAAAGTATTGATTCGTTTCAAAGCCAAATGATGACGAACCAGGTACAGCAACCAAGGGACCAAGATGTAGGGCTGGTGAAGCCTTGGAGCTCGATGAGGGCTGTGGATATGTGATGTGGCCCCCAGAGGCTTTCATCTGTGAACATTCATGACATCAAATGTCGTTTTCACCATGACTGTCAGTTCAGAGGCTCCGCACTCTTCATCCCAGAAACAGAAACTCCATGCTCAGTGAACACACACGGCCACCCTTCCTCAGTGGTTCCCTGAGTCACATTCTCCTTGCTCTCCAGCTCTCCAGATGCTTCTCACCTTGGAGAACTACTGTGTGTGTCCCACGAAGGGAGCATGTTGCTCATCACAGTATCCTCAGAGTTGGCATATGTCAGTTTCCATTTCTTTGCAATAAAAATAATGTTTTGCTTGTCCGTTCTTGCATCCACTGATTGGGTCACTCCTGCCTGTGGACTGTTGTAAATGACCTTGTATGAAAACCGGGATGTGCTTTTCCTGTAGACTCTGCTCACAGGTAGGGAGTGGAATTTCTGTGTCACACGGCAAGTCCTCTTTTTGAGTGTTTTGGGGGCTCTGTTCTGTCCCCCCAGGGAGCCGAATCACTCACTTTAACATCCCCAGCAGTGCTGCACAGGGAATCCAACTCCTCACACCCTCACCACCCATGATAGGACATTCGTAGAAGACAGACGGTGGCATTTCTTCCTGGGAGTCTGAAAATGCTTACTCTGAAGACTTTGAAGAAACTCTCAGAGCCAGCCCTTGGCAGTGGTGAACAATGAGTTTATCCTTTCCTTACCTTCTTTTTCCCATTGTCTTAGTCAATCTGGGCTAATAGAACAAAGCACCCATGCCTGAGGAGGCAAAGCTTCATGGCTCACAGTTCTGGGCAGAACAGGGTTGGTGAAGGCTGCTCTCCGCCCCAGAGATGGCTTGAAGCTGTGTTTGCTTGTGGCGGAGGAACCTGGGAGCATCATGAGCCTTGAGTGTTAAGGGCATTGTTCTCATTTAATTTTTAACTTGATACAAGTTAGAATAGCCAGAGGAGAAAATTATTTGGATCAAATCTGATGGCCTATAAACACTCCTGAAGACATTGCCTTGATTGTCAATTGCTGTGGGAAGGCCCAGCCGGTCGTCAGAAGCACCACTTCCAAGGCAGGAGGTTGTGGATGGTGTAAGAATGAAGAAAGCTAGCTGAGATCTAGCAAGGAAGTGGGATCCGTGTATTTAGTCTCTCTTCGCTCTTGACTGGGCATGTGGAGCTTTAAATTCCTGCCTTGACTTCCCCACAGTAACGCAAGTAACCTGGACGTGTCAGCTAATGAATCCTTTCTTCCCTAACTGGCTTTTTGTCAGACTCTTTTCCACAGCATCAGGCGTGAAACTAGAGCAGGCCTGGCTCTCATGTAACTCTTGGGGCTGCTTTGTTAGTCTACGCCTTCCTCACATACCCACCTTTCTCAGTGTGCTCCGTTTACAACCACCATGTGGGTCTCACCCCGACTCCCCACAGGATGACATGCATGTCCTCCTTGAGGACAGAGGGTGGGTATCTGTGGCTCCCGTCCTTCTCAGCTCTATGAATAGAAGTCAACTGCCCTCCAGGGTCCTGCTAGGACTCATAGGTCCTTCACGACAAGTGTTAAGGCATGATAGCAAACCCTAGCAAGCCAGCGAGGGCACACACAGGACCTGTGCTGTTGTCCCCAATTTGTCAGTCTTCTCTCTCAGTCAGGACCTGCCTCTGGTTGGGGACTGGGAGTGGGAAGGAGTCCAACCATCTCTCCCTGAGGCTTTAGTATAGCTTGTAGGCTTGTGATTGGTGTGATTTCCTTTAGTTAGTTACATTCTGGAGAAAAACCTCCTCCCTGGATTATTTTGAGGTCCCATATGTTAGTGTGAGCCTTCAAGAGGCTTACCAGTCCAAAGCAATGTGTCCTTGAGTGTCTGTGTTATGGACTGTAGTCAAAGAGCAGCCACCCACTCTGTCTTCCCTACAGAGGTATGTTACACTGTGCTCAAAAGCTCTGGGACAGGGTAGGGTGTGGCTCGATAAAAAAGTGCTGGCCTAGGGTGTTCCAGGTTCTGAATGTGGTTCTCAACACCACAAACCCTTTATCCACTTTTAAAAAGTGATTCCGTAGTCCTCGTTATGAAATCCGTGGTACCCGTCAGGGTTTGTCCCCAGGGCTCTTTGGTAATAGGTGAGCTACTCACTGAATGATTGTCTCAGACTCCACTCTCCATCTGCCAGAGGTATCACCAAGCAAGAACACCCAGAGGAGAATGAGGACATTCAGAGGATGACACGTTGGACCCAGTTTGACTGTCCATGATTCTGAGAGTGAGATCTCCCTCCTCTGGCAGAATAATGAAGATTTGGTCTAGGAGTGCAGGATGGTAGTATCCACCATAGACTAAAGGATCATAGCATAGAAGGACCTGCTCAGTGAGAGGGTTTTAAGTGGAGGGCCCAAAGGATTAGAAGGGATTAGAAGATAAGGAGTTGGAAAGGTTTGGGATTGGGAGGTCTTGCATAAGCTATGTCTCAAGAAGTACAGTTTTAGAAGTAAACTTCTTATATATTGTTCCCTGCAGAGAAAGGTGGACAGTGTCAGTGGAAAGCCAGCATGCAAATGGGGTAAAGTCATCAAGAGGTTAACCAAGCAATGTGCAAAGGGAACACAAGATATCTCAAGAGTGCCAGGGACTGAGCACACACAGCAGCCTTGGGGCTGCTAACTCCATTCTCTTGGGGGAGAAAAGACAAGTTTCCAGGAATCAAAACCTTAACTCCTCTCCCCGGTCCCAGAAAGAACTTGCCAAGTCTGCCTCTGGGCAAGGACACGAAAGGAGGCTCCCATTGTCCTTTCTGCAGAGCTCCTGACAAAGCCTTGGGTGGGTCTCTCTCTCAACACCTCCAAGCCCCTCCACCCCTATCCCTTACCTCCCTACTTCCCACACTGCCCAGCACCCCTCAGCCAGTGAATTTTGGCTCATAAATAACTAAAAGGGAACTAAACTGGGGACTGAGAACAGGCTGAGTCCCAGGACTGAGGAGGAAGGTCTCTTTCTGTTCCAGTCTCTGCAATGTCACATGGCATCTCAAAGGACACCTTTCAGAGGAGCTGGTGAACAGCATTTTACCTTTGCTTTAAGTGATACAACTGTCTGTGGTGAGGCAGGGATGTGTTGCAGAACCTGCAGGGCTGGAGGGATTAGAAAATGTATGTGTGTGTGTGTGGGGGGGGGGTTAACTAAAGGCTGCCTGTCCCATGAGCATCTTGGTGGGAGTGAAGGGTGACTTGACAGCTCCAGCCCAGTGCCTGTCACTACTTCCTCTGAGGCTCAACAACCCCCTCACATGCAGGCAGCAAGGCCCAGAAGGTGTCCCCAGCTCCCCTGGCCTGAAACTGCCCTGTGATTGATGCTAAAATAAAGGAGGCAGGGACTTGAGCTTGAGATCACTGACTCAGGCTAGCGAGGACTCCAGGGCACCTGGAGCTCAGCTTCAGAGTCAGAGGCTGAGCCACAGTGGCCAGGGGTGGCAGGCTTTGCTTTGGGTCTTTGCTTTTCTGCTCTCAGGCCTGGCAATAAATTCCAAAGATGAGGCTCTTTCCCCCAGGTTTAGTGTCTGCAGACATGCAGCTCCTCTACAGGGAGTTCAAAACCCCCAAAGAGAGTCCTCAAATGTAAAATAGTAGACACTTGACTGAACACAGCTCTTCTGGAAAGCAGAGGCCCTTCCAGGGCTCCAGCCTTTCGGTGTCAATAGTTAGCTATGGCTGCACTGGGTGCTCAGGAATAACACTGGGTCCTGGGTCCTGGGTCCTGACTGTGGTTCAGAGTCTCTTTCATCCGTGTCAGCTCATCTGCTCTGCTCCTTCAGGTCACAGTGTGCACAGAGCACCTGGCCCTCACAGTGTCCTGTTCCCCCTGTGGACCTCAGCGTGTAAAGTGAGGCCTGCACATAGCACACACCTGTGTTGTGTTTGACAAGGAGTTATGTGGTGTTTGAATAAGAAGGCCCCTTAGTCACCAGGACGTGGCACTGTTTGAAAGGATTAAGAGCTGTGGCCTTAAGTATGTCACTCAGGGTAGGCCTCCAGTTTTCAAAAGCCAGAGCCAGGAACAGTCACTTTTTCTTCCTGTTGGCTGAGGACCCAGATGTCAGCTCCTTCTCCAGCACCATGTCTGCCTGCATGCCACTATGCCCTCCACCATGATAATAATGGACTAAACCTGTGAAACGGTGAGGCAGCCTCCATTAAATGCTTATTATTATTATTATTTTTAAATAAGAGTTGCCTTGGCGATTGTGTCCATTCACAGCAATAGGACACTGACTAAGACAGAGAATACATTTATTTCAATCAGCATTGAATATATTGATCCGTTTCCTTCTGGAATTCCAGGATTTTTATGAGCATCTAATTACTTTCTGGTAAATTATAAGGACCAGCCCCACAGCTGGCAATAAATTGCTGTATTGTATTTTACAAACAGAACATTTTCTTATATGTTAAGCTGTAGCATCATCTTGGGCCAATCAGTCGGAATTCAAAGAAAAGGTGACATGGTGAGTATGGACATGAGGACTTTAAAGCAGGAGGCACAGCAAAGTTTCAAACCACCAACCTAAGGACATCAACTCATCCTACAGGCTTTGACTGCTAAAAGCCTAAAGTCAGTCTCCACAGCACACCTGAGCCAGAGCCTTTGAGTTCTTCTCAGCCGCGTCAGGGCGGGTTCTGTTATGACCTCATGAAGAGCGATTGTGAGGACGTCCAGCAGCAGATGTTATGCTGTGGCCTGGGTTTCTGTGGGTGTGTCGAGAGGAGCTGTGGAGTGGTGCCCTGTGCGACTTTATTGTGTCTAGTGAGGTTGTGTGTGCTTTATTGGTTTGTATGTGTGCTGTGTACGTGTGTGTGTTTAAGTGTAAGTGTGTATAGGTGTATTTGCCCAAGTGTGTGTATACTTTTATTTGCTGTTATGTGTGACTGCATGTACAGGTGTGGTTGTCTGTACATGTGTGTTCCAGTTGAGGCCAGCACTCAACCCCAGGCCTACGTTTTTCTTCCTTCCTTCTTTCTTTCTTTCTTTCTTTCTTTCTTTCTTTCTTTCTTTCTTTC